CACTACCGACACGGGAAGGACAAACCGGACCCTGGGCGCCGTCGTATTTCGTGGAGGTGCCCCAGTATCGCACGTGGGACGCGTGGTGCGCAGGTCTGCGCGCTCGATTTGAGCCAATCGCGGCCTCGATCTCGGCGCGACAGAAGCTCCGCACTTGGCGCCAACTCGGTTCCGTCCAGGATTACACGAGCGGATTTCTGGCGCTATGCGAGCAGGTGGGCTACATGCATGAGAGCGAACGCATCGACCGCTACATCGGCGGCCTGAAGCAGGACATCGCTCAGGAAATCCAGCTTCGCGGCGTCACTGAGTTTCAGGAAATTCTCGCTATGGCGGAGAAGCTCGACTTCTTTCGCCGACCGAGACCGGGGTCCTACGGAAACAACACCTGGGGACATCGGCCTCGTGGGACGAACGAGAGCGCCACGATACGCGCCGTCGCCGCAAATGCCGCTGCCGCACCGTTCAAAGGGCGCTGCTTTGCGTGCAATCGGCCGGGACATCGCAAGAGCGAATGCCCGGAAAACGCTAAGGGAAAGGGGGAAGCTGAGCAGCAGACACAGACCAAGCAGCAGGGAAACGCTGGAAGTCAGTAGCAGACGGGCCCTCTACTGACAGGTCACGCCGCTCGCCCGACCCAACCGACCCTCACCGAGTGATTGTGCCGGTTCACGCAATCGACCACACCCGGCCGAATAAGGAGGGTACCACGGTAGATAGCCCTATACTGCTCAGTGGGAAAATTGGGACGGACTTAGTTAAAATCTTCGTAGACGGGGGAGCCAGCCACAGCCTCATTAACACTGCTACAGCACGAAAACTGCGACTGCCACTGGACCGATGCTTACCTGAGATCGACGCACGACTGGTAGACGGCACGCCGCTGGCAATACGGGAACGCGTAGACCGAGTTCGGATTCGATGCGGGGGTAACTTCACGTTTAGTCAGGGAATGCTCGCAACGACCCTCGACGGAACCGACATTTTACTCGGGCGTGATTGGCTGCGACGACACAACCCGCGAATTGACTGGACGACGGGTGACTGCACCGTGCGAGTGAACGGTAACAGCATCGCCTTACCTCGCTGGGGCTCGCCTGAGTCTTCGTCGGTGCGTGTCAACGCGATCACGATGAAACGCGCTGTTGCGGCCGGAGCCGACGTGTACGCGGTTGACATTCGGGAAGCCGAGGCAGCAGACAAGGGAGGCGATTTACAGAAACTGCTGACCGACGTACCGAGTGACCTGGCGGCACTGTTACAACAGTACAGTGACATTTTCCCGGATGACCTGCCGACGGGACTGCCACCTCAGCGACCGCACGATCACAGGATAGAACTGGAACCGGGGGCACAGCCAACAGTACAGCGACAGTTCCGACTGACCCAACCCGAATTAGACGAACTAAGGAAGCAGCTCGATTACCTGCTAGAAAAGGAATTCATTCGCCCTAGTTCGTCGCCTTTCGCCGCACCAATACTGTTCACACCGAAAAAGGACGGGGGTTTTCGCATGTGCATCGACTACAGGGCACTGAACAGGGTTACCATCAAATCCCGTTACCCCATCCCACGAGCCGACGAACTGATCGACCAACTGCGCACAGCCCGGGTTTTCTCGAAAATCGACCTCCGAGGAGGATACCACCAAATCCGCGTCAACCCACCCGACTGCCCTAAAACCGCATTCCGAACACGCTACGGATCCTTCGAATACACCGTCATGCCATTCGGACTGACCAACGCCCCCGCCACTTTCCAAATGACCATGAACGAAGCATTCCGCCCGCTTTTAGATAAGTGCGTCATCGTTTATCTGGACGACATACTGATTTACAGCCCTGACAGAGCACAGCACTTACAAGACATCGAAGCAGTTTTTAAAATCCTGAGTGAGAACCGCCTACTGACCAAAGCATCTAAGTGTGAGTTTTTACAGGACCACCTGGAGTTTTTGGGACATGTTATTTCAGCTGCAGGAGTGGAAATAGACCCGAAGAAAATTGCGACGATTCAGGCTTGGCACGCGCCGACCAACTTGACCGAGTTGCAGAGTTTCCTGGGGTTCGTCAACTACGTGCGCCGGTTCGTCCCCGACATGGCGAAACTGACTGCCCCGTTGACTGACCTGCTGAGGAAGGGGGTTGAGTACACGTGGGGGGAGAAAGAGCAAGCTGCCTTCTCGGCCCTCAAAAATATTTTGTGCTCCCCGCCCGTCCTTCACATTGCAGATCCCCACCGTCCGTTCGAGCTCGTCACCGACGCAAGTGACATCGCTGTGGGAGCAGTACTGTTGCAGGATTTCGGGAATGGCCTCCAGCCAATCGCGTACGAGTCCCGCAAGTTACACCCGCCCGAACGTAACTACCCGATACACGACCGCGAGATGCTAGCGATCGTGCACGCGTTCAAAGTTTGGCGATGTTACCTGACTGGTGCCGACGTGACAGTACGGACAGACCACCGCTCGCTACAGTACCTTCGCGCCCAACCGAATCTCAACCCACGACAGATTCGCTGGTTGGACTATCTCGAGTCCAATTTTCACTACACCGTCACGTACAAAAAAGGAGCATCCAACATCGCCGACGCTCTCACCCGCCCCACCGCCCAACTCCACGCCATCCTACTCGCCCAGACCAACCCGCTTTTAACTGGCCTATTCACCCACGGATACCGCACCGACCCATTTTTCACGACCGGAAATTCACAGCAACTGGCAGAAGCAAAAGGAGTTTATTACGTAAAAACAGGCACCAACCGCATTTGGGTACCCGCGTACTCACTACTGAGGGAGCTGCTGCTGCAGGAGGCACACGACGGGATTACCTCCGGACATTTCGGGGTAGAAAAAACACGACAGCAACTGCAGCGGTACTATTACTGGCCGGAGCTGTTGACCGACGTACAGCAGCACGTGGGCTCGTGCCCGACGTGTCAGGTGATGAAGAGTTCAAGGAAGCGGAAGGCGGGTCAATTGCAGCCGATCCCACCGCCCGAACGCGCCTGGCAGCAAGTAACCATGGACTTCGTCACAGGGTTACCTTCGAACCCTGGGGGTAACGACGCGGTGATGGTCGTCGTGGATAGGTTGACGAAGATGGCACACTTCGCTGCGTGCAAAAAGTCGATCTCAGCCGAAGAGACCGCTCGCCTGTTCATCGCAGCCGTTGTTCGCCTGCACGGGATACCAGCAGCAATTATCAGCGACAGGGACACGAAGTTTACCAGCAACTTCTGGAAGAACCTCTGGGAGCAGTTCGGGACCAGGCTACAGTTCAGTTCGTCGTACCACCCCGAGACCGACGGCCAAACGGAGCGGACGAATCAGACGATGGAGCAGTTGATTCGTGCCACGTGCGACGACCCCACGACCTGGGAGCAGCAGCTGCCGCTGATCGAGTTCGCGTACAACAACGCCACATCAGCCACGACGCAGCAGTCCCCGTTCTACCTGAACTATGGGCAGAACCCCACAGTGCCCATGACGCCGAGTCCGGACAACCCCACGCCACGCGCACAACAATTCGCCGAAATCCTGCAAGCTGCCCGCGCCAGAGCCGCCGAAGCAATAAAAAAGGCCAACGTCATCGCTAAGCGCAACGCTGATCGCCACCGCCGCCCCGTCACGTATCAATCTGGAGATTACGTGCTACTCGACACGCAAAATCTGCGACTGCCCGACGTACCAAAATTACGACCGCGCTACTGTGGACCATTCCAAATCAGTCACATGATCACACCCGTCACCGCGCACCTACTGTTGCCAATTGACTGGTACATCAGCCCTTCGTTCCACGTCAGCCTACTTCGCCCATACATCCCGACCACGAGTCAACTGCCGCGTCACCGGCCACAATCAATGACTCGCCCTGCATCAGAGCCGATCATCGAGCCCGAGAAATTTTTGAGCCATCGGATCCGCCACCCCACGGGAATCAGGAGGATTGAATTCCTCGTTCGCTGGAAAGACCGCACGCCAACTGAAGATAGCTGGGTGCCCCTGAGCAACATCGAAAATCACCCTGCCCTGCAAGTGTACTTGAGAAGCCGGGGATTCCGGGATATACACGCACTCGCGTAGCGGAGGGGGCTTCTTAAGGGGGGGGGGGTAGTGTAAGGAATTTTCTCAGGCATTCCTTACGGAGCCGACTACATCGCGTACAGCAACAGCCGACTGTTCGCCCGTTACTGCTAACGGAACTTCGCCGACTTCGCGCGCACTGTTTTGCCAAACCTCGCACTGCTGGCATGGCCGTATCGGCCTACGCTTCGGGACTAGCCCGAGCCTCGCTCCAGCGTAGCACTAGCAAGTTCGCACGCACCGCGTTACCGTTTTGCATGTTTCGCGTATAAATGTTCGCTCATGCCTTCGCTCACATTTTGTACTCGTTTGACACTTTAGTGCAATTCTCGCTACCTCGATTCATTGCACCCGTAACAACACTATATGAGTTCTGCAGTTGGGGCGGTGAAGTAGCTCCCTTGTCGCAGAACCTATACTTAGATTATCCCTGAGTACAATGCGCAATCTACGTAGTTACCAAGTTTCGACATTGTAGATACTTAGTAAATTTGCCGAACAAATTTGGGATGCAGTGCGATTGACTTTCGTTTTACTAGCTACAGCTACAGCTGGTAGTAGCTCGTGTAGACTACAGGCCATTCATGGCCGTCCGATCTGTCCCAGGACGAGTAAGTGACCATCTGGGATACTCGTTGCAGATTCAGAGGGTCGGATGTGCGACTCAAGCCTGCGATTCAGGAACACTGCGATTCATGCATGCAGTTGTGACTTAGTCGGAGCGCGACTCGAGCTTCGCGTTCTGAAGAGTCCATCTACCATGGCGACACTCAGTTCTCGTCGTGATAGTATAATTAGACAGGTGTCGCGTTGGCTCATCACCCATCTTCAGTCATTCTTGCGACTACTTCCCTTAGTCACTCGATCTCTCGCACTCTGAGTGTGAGTCGCTCTCGTCGGGCAGCACGTCGCCAAGATGTCGCAGGCATCGCACAAACTCGTTCGCCCCGTCACCATGCTCGTGCTGCTTCTCGGAGCGTCACTCGCCGTCGCCCGGCCCGCTCGTGCGACGTCGCCCGGGTCGCCAGGTCCTATCGATGCGATTTTCGTGTTCGGCGACTCGCTCCTGGACGTGGGGAACAACAACTACGGCCCGGCCGACTGGCCCAAGAATAACTTCGCTCCGTACGGCATTAACTACATCCCCGCGTCGGGCCGCGTGTGCGACGGCAAGCTGACCGTCGATTACCTCGGTACGTCATTCTCGCATCATCATCATGCCTTCTAAGGAGCGAGATAACCTATCGTCCCCTTACCTTCACCATCACCCCTCTTAACCATAATTTTTCATCCTACTAACCATCCCCGCTCTCCAAACGTTCCCATGCTGCAGCGGAGTGGCTGGGCTTCCCCGGGTCGCCTCCGCCGTACCTGCAGCCGGGCCGCAATGCGACGCTCGGAGTGAGCTTCGCCAGCGCTGGCGCCAGTTTCAACATCACGGGATACGTGAGTCAAATGCCCACATGCCTATGTGCTTATATGCTGTATTTCGGGACCCCTTGCAGCAGATTTTCTCCTGCCTGTTGTGCATCGCAGCATCATTCAAGCCCCGAATTATTCGCTCCTCCATTGTGCTCTGCGACCTTCCCCCCACAGGCACTCCCCGCCTTCCAGGCATCGCAGCAGCTGCAGTGGTATGCCAAACTGCAGTCCCACGTGAACGCAGTAGCAGCCTCGCATATGCTCCTGGCTCTCAGAGCAAAAACCCCTTCTTTTCCTTTCCAACTCACTCAAAGCAAGCCCCCCTTCTTTTCCTTTCCATCCTCCCCTGTGTCCTTCTTGTCCTTGTCCTTCTTGTCCTGCGCCCTTCCCTCACAGACCCTCCCGGCCTTCCAGGCATCGCAGCAGCTGCAGTGGTACGCCAAGTTCCAGGCCGACGTGAACGCAGCAGCCAGCGCCGACCCGCTCCTCCCAAAGTCGCCAGCCGTCTTCTCCTCTGCACTCCACATCGTCGGGCTGGGAGCCAATGACTACCAGATCCTCTTCTTTGGAGAGCGCGTCAACGAGAGCACCATCCCAAGGCTCGCTGCTGGAGGCTCCCAACAGGCGCGGGATTTTGCGTCCGCGGTGGTGGGCGCAATCGAGGCGTACGTGAGGGGGCTGTATGGGCTGGGAGCAAGGCGGTTTCTGCTGTCGGAGCTGCCGCCGTTTGGGTGCGCGCCGCTGTGGCGGCAGGCGCTGCAGCAGGCGCAGTGTGTGGCGGTGCTGAATGGGTACGCGCAGGCGCACAACCGCCTGCTGGCTGCTGCTGCGGGGAGGCTGAGGGAGGAGCTGCAGGGATCGCAGATCCTGCTGGCCAAGGTGTATGGGATTGTGGAGACCGCTGTTGCTGATCCCGCCACTGTTGGTGAGTTTAAATCTCTTGCCCTGCTGCTCGCTTTGCGCACGAGAGATATTGGCCTGATCTTTGCCTTTTCTCCGCACATTCCGCTGACTGACGTGTGGGGTGGTGTGGTCGAAATGGGTAACCTGCGCTGCAGGCCTCCTGGAGGGCAGCAACGCTGGCTGTGGCGGCTTGACATATCTCACACTCATCCTACACTCTGCTCCCTCCCCCACCAGGCCTCCTGGAGGGCAGCAACGCCTGCTGCGGTGGCCCGCCTCCCCTCAACGGGCTCGTGCAGTGCGGCACCACGGCCAACCTGGGCGGTAACATGGTAACCGCATCGCAGTGCAGCCGCCCGCAGGACGCGGTGTTCTGGGACCAGTTCCACCCCACCGAGTCCCTCAACCGCATTCTCGCCCGCAACTTGTTTGTGGGCCGCCAGGACTCCATCTCTCCCATGAGCGTGCGTGACCTGGCTCAGCTGGCCCGTGGGCAGAAGTAATGGAGAAAAAGAGTTAAATTGCGATACCAAGGAATGGTATACCAGGAGGAAGTTCTAAATGCATGCCATATTTCTTTTTTTGAGGGAGGCGAGAGGATTTGTTTCTGGATTGATAATGCCTCCACCTCACCCTGCCAGGTTGTCAATGTTGGAAACAATAAGTCCTAAGTGCGCTTCTGTCGTATCAAACCCAAGGCACCAAGCGAAGCAGTCCCAAACGAAGCATCGAGTCAACCTCGGAGGTTAGGGTAACCGCCTGGAGGTTACGAGAAAGTCAAAGGTCGCTGACCTTTGACTCGACAATCACAGCGCGACAGTTAAGGACACACAACTGACTCGTTACAGAGCAGTTGCCCGAGTCGCACTGTATCGAACCGCAACAGCAATACAGTTATCTACCTATCTATTCGTATTCCCTGTACGGTACTCTTATATAAATCCTTGTATTTGCTTGTTTAATTTAATCTACTTTGCTCTCACACACCAGTGCAAGGTCGGTTCACAATCCTCATTAAAACGCTTCCGCTATTACAAGTTTCTACCCAAGAGTTCTCCTCTGCAAAGATCCTAAGGGCTATTTCTCAGCCCAACATGGTATGAGAGCTGACAGGGGAAAACTCTAACCTTTTTCATCATTACAAGACATGGCAACAAACAAGGAAAGGAGCTCCCCCAATGGCTCCTCGGGCACTACTCCTACTCCACCGCCAGCCTCTGGCCTGCAGACAGAGGAAGACACGGCAGCAAGACCAAGGGGAACATCAACCGAGACCCCCACGAACCATCCTTCTGACTTCGACCAGAGCATGATGGAGAAATTTTTCTCCTTCATGTCCTTCTACGAGCAACACCAGCAGTCGGGACCTGCACAGACACACAACAGCAACAACGGAGCGACACCCATGAGCCTTGACGGGTCGTCATATGCGCGAGGGAATCAACAGCAGCAACCCACCTTCGCCCCGTACGAACGCGGGTCGATCAGCTTCCTGCCTCAACCTCCACCTGCGCAAGACAAACCAATGGATGCCTTACAAGTACAATCGCAGTTCGCGCATGTTCTGAAACTACAGACGTCAAGACCTTTCGACGGAAAGGACTTCTTTACCTGGTCCTTTGAATTCGAGTTGATGATGGAGGGCGCGCAGATACTCGGCTTCTTCGACGGATCCCTGCAGTATCCAGCAAACGGGACACAGTATGAAAAGCAGCAGTATACGTATCAATCCATGATGGCGTATACTATTCTACTGAGAAACATCACACCAACCCAGCAGCAGAACATTCGCTCCTACCGGAACTTCGGCAATTCGGCGGAACTCGCGTACGGCCATCTGAAGAACCTGTACCAGGCAACAGACAGTGTAAACCAGAGCAGGTTAATGGCGCAGCTGACAACAGTGGAAATGAAACCAGGAGAAAAAGGGTTGGCGTATATCAGCCGATGTCGCGAATTGCGCGACAAGCTTCTTCGATGTGGAGGGTCAATCTCTGAAGACGCCTTCGTAACAGTCGTCATCGGCGGCCTCGGTCCTCAGTGGCGCGCCACCAAAGCAATTCTTCGAGCACACGGGAGGATCTCCGAAGCGGCACTTTGCGCAGAAATTCACGCGGAACAGCAGGATATGGACCTGCAAGAAGAAAGAAACAAGAAAAGGACAATAGCACCGGAGTTTGCTTTCCATACTCAGCGACGACACAACTACTACAACAATCGACAGCAGCAGCCGAAGTTAGTACCTCCATTTTGTCACATCTGCAAGACATCAGGACACCCACGCACGCACTGCCCGTCTCGACAGACAACACCACAGCGACAACTGCGGGCTTCAAGCACCCAAGCTGCTTCGACACAAGCAAGCTCGACAACCACGATTCAAGCTTCAACAACCTCAACTGGACAACCTGCGCAAGGAGCAAGACATATAGTCAACTGCATGGTCAAGATAAACGACTCTTGCGTAACAGAGTCACCACCCCATTACTCACCAGAAGAGGAGCTCGACAACAGGACGCCTCGTCGCGAATCACTCCATCCAAATCCGACTTACGCCGCCATCGCTCAAAGTGAACCGTCCGGCCAAGACACCTGGTTCTTGGACAGTTGCTGCGGGCAACACATGTGCTCGTCCGGGCGTTTCGTACAACGCGAACATCGACTCCAACGGGAAGTAATCATCACGGTTGCCAACAACCAGAACCTGCGCACACGAAGGCAAGGAGTGGTACAGCTTCAGTCACGAGAAACAAATGTCATACTGCACATGTCTAAGGTACTCATCGCTGAAGGACTCGGCTACAACTTACTGAGCGTTAGCCAGTTGATGGCAAAAGGAATTCATCTGGAAGCCGACAGCACGACCCAGGAGTTCAAGCTTTACCACGGGAGAGGCGGTCTCTACATCGGAAAAGCAGTGCTGAAGAACAACGTCTTCGTCCTCGACTTCGTTCCTGACCTCGGCACTACAGACAGCGACGCCATTGTGAACTTTGCTGATTGGACACACCCTCCGGATCTCGACCCCGACTTCAGCCCGGGAGGTTTCTGGTACTCCCACACTATCCCTGAAGCAGAACGAACAAGAGCGTTAGCAACGATTCAACAAGAAGCAGAGACAACAACATCGGCAGCAGCAACAACATCGACAGCAGAAACAACATCGGCAGCAGCAACAACATCAGCGGCAGCAGAAACAACGACACCAGTCACAGTCGACGAAGCACCACCAACACCCGCGCAACAGCTGAATCCGACTCAGCGTGAAGTCCACCGAAGCGCCAACCTCGTCGCCAGCTTTTACTCCAACTCCGACGCATATCAGCGTTCACCCGGACACCGCGCCTCTGAAGAGATCTGGCACGCACGCACAGGACATCCAAGCAACACGGTTTTGAATAACACGATAAGAGCAGGGGTCCTCGACAAAGACTCTCTACTTCTACCCGATGGCAGAGAACTCCAGAAGGCACGAGGGACTTGCCTTATATGTCCCGAAGCTGACTTACCTCATCGACCGTTTACTTCACGTCACAACCCGAGCGCTCCAGCGTACGCACCACTCGAAAAAGTCTACAGCGACATCCTCTACAATCGCGAACCAGGACAAGTCAACTACAACTACACCATCACCTTCATCGACGCTGCCACTCGATACGTCTGGCATCGCAACCTACCCAGCCGCGACATGGCGCTCGCAGCATTCGCCGCCTGGCTACCGATAGCAGAAAGAGAGTCTGGAACACAACTGAAAAATTTCCAGTCAGACGGAGGTGGCGAGTACACCTCTCAGCGCTTCAAGCAGTTCTTGGCGGAAAGGGGGATCAAGCAACTCCTCTCCCTTCCATACGCACATCAGCAGCAAGGTGTTGCAGAACGACTGAACAGGACCCTGCAGAACAGCATGCGCAAACTGTTACGTGGCATGCGGCTACCCAACCACCAGTGGCCAGCATTAATGGACCACGCTGTCATGCTGCACAACTTGTTGTCGTCGTCGTCACTCCCGAACAACGCATCACCGCATCTGCTGTGGACAGGGAAGCAGGGCAGCACGAAAATGTTACGAGTTTTCGGGTGCATGGTACAGTACAGACCCCCAGAAGCACGAGCGGGAAGATTTTCGCAACGGGCACAGTGGGGACTACACCTCGGCATCGAGAAAAATTACAACGCATGGAAAATCTTTGACGTCCACACAAAGGAAACAGTAGCAGCACGTGATGTGATCTTCTACGAAAGACTCACCCTTCAGACGTACCTCGCCAACTTGCACGAGAATCGGGACCTCACCAGTGGTTTTCGTGGTGACCGAGCCTTCGCGTCAGCAGCGGACGAAGCAAACTGGGATGAACAGAACGTCGACAACGCCTCAGAAGAAGCCGGACCTCTCCCATACTGCTCCGTCGACGTACCCATGGATGAGGATAATCCTCGCGACAGTAACAACGCCGAAATCTTCTACCGCTTCGCCGACGATGGTTACGTAACACCTGTGACAGTCAACACCAACGAAGCAGAAAGGGTAGGGCCAAATTTCATGCCCGACCCAGAAACGGGAGACGAAGCAGCTTATCCCGAGGATCCAGAACTCCCTCGATACTCACAGACTGGGCTGCAAATCCTTGGTCTCGTCACCGCAGTCCATGGCGCCGGCATTCCTGAGGAGCCTGCGACGGTTCAGCAGGCTCTGGGGGGGGAACACAGGGAGAAATGGCGTGAAGCTATGGACAAAGAGCTGAAGGCACTGGAGGAGCGCAACACCTGGAAAATTGTTCCCATCGGCGTAACTCAAAATAAAAACATTCTTACCGGAAAATGGGTCTTCCGTGTGAAGACGAAAGCTGATGGCACCATCGACAAATTCAAAGCCCGCTGGGTCGTACGTGGCTTCGACCAGGAGCACGGAAGAGATTACACCGAAACCTTCGCTCCGGTCAGTCGCCACACCTCACTCCGAATCCTCATCGCCGTCGCCGCCATGAAGAAAAAGAAATTACGACAGATCGACGTTGCGAACGCATTTCTCTACGCACCTGTGGATGCAGAAATCTTCGTTGAACTCCCGCACGGCTCCCACGGCGAACCCAACCGAGTGTGTCAACTACTCAAATCACTCTATGGGATCAAGCAGGCACCGCGACTGTGGCAGCAGTACCTACACGCCCGCCTCATCCGCATCGGCTTCAAACAACTCCCGCGTGACCAGGGCATGTATCGCCTCACAAAAGGAGGCGATTACGTCCTATTAATCGTCTATGTGGACGATCTTCTCTACATTGGGTCAACCGACAACATCGCCGCGTGGTTCGAAGGGGAGCTCCAGAAAGACCTCACGCTCACGGTCCCTTCTACGGTTACGCAATACCTCGGGCTCAACATCCGTGAGGAAGAAAACGCAATCTACCTAAGCGCCGAGAAGTACGCCGACACTATCGCGAAACGCTTTCGTCTCACACCAAGCGCCATCTCCACGCCTTATCGCTACGCGTCAGGAACCGAAAAGGGGCAATCTACTCTACTTAAACCCGCCGGCATACGCGACTATCAGAAGAAGCTAGGATGCCTACTTTTCGCAGCAGTCACGTGCCGTCCCGACCTATCCTACTCCACGAGTCAGCTCGCTACCTATCTCAAGAGACCTGAAGCAGAGCATCTGGCGGAACTCGATCGTGCTCTCCACTACTTCGTCAGCACCGCGACGATCGGACTAACTTATCACAAAAACGTGACTACACCGACCAAACTAATCGGCTACGTCGACGCCGATCACGCCGGCGACACCGACAACAGGCGCTCACGCACCGGCTATGTCTACCGCCTTGAGCCTATCGGTCCTATCTCCTGGCAATCAAGCAAGCAGGAGTTAATCGCACTATCTTCAGCAGAAGCAGAATATATCGCACTCTGCTCAGCCACCAAGGAGTGACTTTACCTTCGCGAACTACTGGAAGAAGCGAAACTAGCCGAGTTACCCAGCTTCACCGTGTTCTGCGACAACCAGTCGGCAATCCGCATCGCCAACAAAAACGGCTTCGCAAACAGGACGAAACACATCGCCCTGCGCTATTTCTTCGTGAAGGACGAGATAGAAAAAGGGAAACTCGATCTGTCATACTGCCCAACATCCGAGATGGCAGCCGATTACTTGACCAAGAAACTCGGAAAGCAGAAGTTCGAATACTGCATTATGCTGACTGGACAAGGCCACGTCACCAGCAGCGACACTCCAGAAGCGAAGGGGAGTGTTGGAAACAATAAGTCCTAAGTGCGCTTCTGTCGTATCAAACCCAAGGCACCAAGCGAAGCAGTCCCAAACGAAGCATCGAGTCAACCTCGGAGGTTAGGGTAACTGCCTGGAGGTTACGAGAAAGTCAAAGGTCGCTGACCTTTGACTCGACAATCACAGCGCGACAGTTAAGGACACACAACTGACTCGTTACAGAGCAGTTGCCCGAGTCGCACTGTATCGAACCGCAACAGCAATACAGTTATCTACCTATCTATTCGTATTCCCTGTACTCTTATATAAATCCTTGTATTTGCTTGTTTAATTTAATCTACTTTGCTCTCACACACCAGTGCAAGGTCGGTTCACAATCCTCATTAAAACGCTTCCGCTATTACAAGTTTCTACCCAAGAGTTCTCCTCTGCAAAGATCCTAAGGGCTATTTCTCAGCCCAACAGTCAACATGCGTTCAAGGATGATGTTTGGAAAACTTGTACTGAGCTTAGAATAATATACCACTTAACCGTATTTGTATGTGTGCCAAGAGATTTCTCTCCATGAGAAAACATGCTTACGCCAATTACTAGAAGAGAATGGTTCAGGTTCCACTGATATCTTCTATTTCAGGCATGTAACTTTTTATCGAGTATTCGCCTGCCTCGTGTAGCGAGGACGCACGTTCCCGAAGCACCTGCACTACTACTCCCGAAGCGCCTGACTGTATGAACGATACCAGTGGTACCTCCCGGCGAGCCAAGTAGGCGAACGAAGGAGTCGGAGTAGGATTACTATGCACGCAGCAGTAGTGTATTACTAAAGCCTCGATCGACGTCGTTTCATCCCTTTTCCTTCCCCCAGGTCCACGGCGAGTTCTCCTCTATAGAATCGTACGTCTCATCTAGGTTTGATTGTCTCTTCCTGATACAGATGCCAGGTTCGAGCTGGCTGAAAGAATCGCTTGAAATGATGTTTGATTGGACCAAAAATTCGCACTCGTGCGTTTGAGTCGCGTGGAATGTCGCTTGCTTGTCGCCCCCGTCATTCAGCCCCTTCCATCTCCGTTCCTTGCGGCGCTTCGCCCTAACTACCGTCCGTCATTATCGCGACAGACATGGTCTCGTTCCTGCTCCCGCCTCGTCTCTCCCCTTCCTCCAGCACTCCCATTCCGCTGTTCCTCCACCCTCCGCCTTTCCGTGCTGCTACTTCCCCCGATTCTCACCGTTGCACCTCGGAAGGACAGCTGAGACGGACGGCTGAGATCTTCTCAGGCTGGCGGCGAAGGATCGCCAGTCAATGGATGCGATGGCGGCTCGCCTTCAGAGCTCCTTCGATGTGCGTCTTGCCATTCCATTCCATTCCATTCCATCCATGCACAGCTGGTTCAAGCTCCTTTCCCTGCCACCCTTCACCACCCATCCGCATCTTTCCGCACCCTGCCATCTCCCCTCCGATGTGCGTCTTGCCATTCCATTCCATCGCACTACTGGCGCATGCTCCTGTTTTTAGGCGCCTCAATTTTTTTGAGACGACTTTTGAGGCGCCTCAAAAACCTTCGATGTGCGTCTTGCCATTTCATCTCACTACTGGCGCGCGCTCCTTTTCCTGCCAACCTTCCGTTACCCTTCCGCCACTCGCCCGCCAACGTTCCGCCACCCTTCCAGCAATTCTCGCCCGTCCTCTCTATTTTCTCTCAAGTCTCGCTTTCAACCCGCTCTGGTCGTCACTTACTCGTCTCGCCCCCATTGCTCGCTTTTTTTTATTATTATTATTTGTATTTCCATCGCCACCTCTTCCTCTCATTCTCCTCTCCTCCCACTTCCGTCAGTTTTCCTCCCCCGCCTTCGTGTCGCCCTGCCTTTCTATCGCCCTGCCATCCTTCCCTTGCCTGCCATCCTTCCCTTGTCAGCCATCCTTCCCTTGCCTGCCATCTTTCCCTTGTCTTCCATTCCATCCTCCCCTTGACTCCCATCCCCCATTGACTCCCATCCTCTCTTGTCTGATCAGGAGGTGCTCGCGTCTGCCTCCTTGCTCGTGGAGGCTGCTTCATCGGCTCCTCGTGGTGACACACAGTCAGGGTACACACGCTACTCTCCACTCGCCCCCTCCCTCTCCTTCCCTCATCTCTCTTCCCATCTCTCTTCATCGGCTCCTCGTGGTGCCCACAGTCAGGGTACACACGCTGCTCTCACACACACTCCTTCCCTCTCCTCTCCCCATCTCTCTCCCCATCTCTCTCCCCATCTCTCTTCATCGGCTCCTCGTAGTGACGCACAGTCAGGGTACACACGCTACTCTCACACACACTCCTCGCCTCTCCTCTCCCCATCTCTCTCCCACTTACCTCGGTCTTGCTCTCTCATCTCTCGTCCCATCTCTCATCCCATCTCTCTTCCCATCTCTCGTCCCATCTCTCGTCCCATCTCTCTTCCCATCTCTCGTCCCATCTCTCGTCCCATCTCTCTTCGTATCTCTCTTCCCATCTCTCGTCCCATCTCTCTTCCTATCTCTCTTCCCATCTCTCTTCATCGGCTCCTCGTTATCACGCACAGTCAGGGTACACACATTACTCTCACACACACTCCCTCTCCCCACCTCTCTCTCCTCCGTTATGCTCTAACTCAGGCTATCTCACTCATAACCCTATGGCATTCGTAAAAAGGTTCACCTTTTCTCCATTGAACTTTTGTTTTCCTCCTTTCCTTTTCATGTACTCCTCTTCTTCTCCCCATGAACCTATGTTCCCAATTCCAATCGTTGTCCTCTTTATAAGCAGCTCCAGTGGGCCGCACAGTGAGGTGGCAGTAGCATCAGCGCTGGAGGTGTTTCAGAGCCGAGTGGACCTCTTTCAAGCCGCCTGCGACCGGGCTCAGCAGCAAGTGGTGAGTGGCGAGGCTCAGCAGCAAGTGGTGAGCAATTAGACATGGGCAATCAAGTCAAGTGGTGAGAGCATGGCAAGTGGTGAGTGGTGAGGCTCAGCAGCAAGTGGTGAGTGGTGAGGCATAGTCAATGTTTAATTCTACGGGAAAATCGGCTCAGCAGCATGTGGTGAGAGCACGGCAGCAAGTGGTGAGCAGCGAGGCATGGTGAGCGCTGAGAGCATGGTGAGTGGTGGTGAGAGCATGGTGAGTGGTGGTGAGAGCATGGTGAGTGGTGGTGAGAGCATGGTGAGTGGTGGTGAGAGCATGGTGAGTGGTGGTGAGAGCATGCCAATCGGTGAGAGCATGCCAATTGGTGAGAGCATGCCAATTGGTGAGAGCATGCCAATTGGTGAGAGCATGCCAATTGGTGAGAGCATGCCAATTGGTGAGAGCATGCCAATTGGTGAGAGCATGCCAATTGGTGAGAGCATGCCAATTGGTGAGAGCATGCCAATTAGTGAGAGCATGGCGAGTAGTGAGCGTGGCGAGTTGTGAGCATGGCGAGTTGTGAGCATGGCGAGTTGTGAGAGCATGGCGAGTTGTGAGAGCATGGCGAGTGGTCAGCTGGACATGTTGTTAGCACCTCCTTACCCTCTGCTCTCTCCAGATTGTGATCTAGCTTCCATCCTCAAACTAGACGACTTTTGAGTCGACTCAAAAGTCACCTCTGCTCTCTTCAGATTGTGGTCTAGCTTCCATTTTCAAACATGAAAACCTAGCTAATAAGGCCTGTGCTCCCCACTTGATAGTATGATGCTCCCCACTCGATAGTATCATGCTCCCCACTCGATAGTATCATGCTCCCCACTCGATAGTATCATGCTCCCCACTCGATAGTATCATGCTCCCTACTCGATAGTATCATGCTCCCTACTCGATAGTATCATGCTCTCTACTCCCTAGCGTCATGCTCAATCACTTTTCTCCTCGTGCGCTGGGCGCAGCAGCAGCAAGGTCAACAGCTGCTGTCAGAAAGCCTAAGCTGGATTCTTAAGAGCGATATCTTTTTCCCATTTTGTATCACTCCTTGCTCCCCGTTTGCAGTATGCAGCAAGTCACTGGATGCTGTCAGAAAGCCTCAGCTAGAGTCCTAAGAGCGATATCGTTTTCCCACTTTGTAACACCCCTCCCCTCTCCCCGCTTGCAGGACGCAGCAAGGCACCGGCTACTGTCGGAAAGCCTGGTGGACGAAGCAAGAGGCGCAGCAATTGACACGCCTGCTGTGGGTGCAGCAGGAGGAGAGGGGGAGGCCCAGATGGTGCTGGGAGCAACTCGGTTGGAGCAGATCAGCAAGGCAGTGAGAGCCATGGTGCAGGACCTGCAGCACGGACATACAGACAAGCACTGACTGACAAATCTGCTGTTGGTGCTACAGCAGGAGAAGGGGATGAGCCTCAGATGTTGCAGGACCTGCAGCACGGGCATGCAGACAAGCACTGACTTGCTCCCTGCAGCAAGTGTTGTCCAAAAACAATCATTTGGAAATACAGGCGTTGGAAGAGCGATGCTGCTCGACCTGCAGCACGGGCATGCAGATAAGCACTGAGTTGGAGGGGTGTGCTTTTGGGAGAGTCAGTGGTGCTCGACCTGCAGCAGCATTGGCATGCGGACAAGCGTTGAGTTGCAGCAAGTGTTTGCTTGGAAGGACAGGAGCTGGAACTGCCATGGTGCAGGTCCTGCAGCACGGGCACTCAGAGAAACACTGAGTTCGAACTTGGAAGGGCAAGGAAGGACGGAGAGAGGACCTGCAACATGAGCAATCAGACTAACATGGAGCTGCTGCATACAATATGCTTGTTTGGAATTGCAGGGACCAGTATAGTCGTTCAAGAGCCACAAACATGTGCAACTGCATGGATGCACGAGTAGGCCCTCAGATTGGTTTGAGGGTATGCTGATGGATCAGCGTGCCCCTGCCAACCAGGTGTCCAAATCAGCGTTGGTGGTTTTCTTTATACTGATACTGTCAGTGTAATTTTTTTTCCAAAACTGAACCTGCAGTGTAAAAAAACCAAAAAAAGCAGAGCTGATGCAACAGTGCATGGATGCGTCCAAAGTTACCATTGTGACAAACAGCAGCACCATCACTCTCACTGCCATCGCCTGCAGAACCACACATGCCCTCGTCTAGGTCCTCCTCCTCCACCACCCGGCGGCCACTCCCCTTAACAAACTTGGCCTTGGCCCGCTCCTTCTCTGGCGCAGCTTGCTCCTTGCGCTTGCTGGGGCGCCTTTTCCTGGTGCTCCGCCAAATGTCCAGCACCTTATCCCACTCCATGTCGTAGTCGAGCAGACTCATTGCCAGCAAATCTCCCAGCTTGGCGTTGCAGAGACTCGTCCGGCGCCACGGCTTGATCACATTCTGGCGGGAAAACCCGCGCTCGCACTCGACGGTGCTGAGAGGCAGAACAGCGACCGCAGCCCACAGACGGACTAAGTTGGGGTAGCTGGTCTGCCAGTCGTTGGTCTGCAAGATGGCCTTCAAACCTGCGAGAAAGGGCTGCTCTTCCTTGGGGGCAGTGGAGAGCACCGGCAGGAACGTGCGCAGCTCCGCTCGTGCCGCACGCTTCTGGACACCTGCGAAACGGGTTGAGCACAACCAGGGTAGAAAGTAAAGCGCACAACATGGGAATAACGCAACCACGGAAACGGCAATACATACACGCAGGTCAGTGGGGATCTATTTCTTGCTCACCAGGCAAGATCGTGTCCCGGTTCTTGGCCTGAAACAGATGGACGAGGCCGTGCAGGTGCTCCTTGCACTCTGCGTCTCTTGCCTCGACGCCCCTCGGCCACGAGCGGGGCATGAAGAGCTTCGCCCCGCTCAAGCGCGTCAGGTCTCCCAAGCGCAGCTCGAGGTTGTACACCAGCTCGCGGGCGAATGAGCGGCAGCAGGTGTAGCAGCCTTGCATGTCCCCGCTGCTGGTGGTGTATCCCTTGACTGCCTCCTCGTGCAGCTGGAACTTGTGTACACGGGGCTGACCCTCCTTGTCCACCCCTTCCACAGTCCCTTCACGGCAGTCGAGCGAGGCATGCCGCGCAAGGAAAGCAGACAGCAGCTCGCTGGTCCCACCGCCAAACTGCTGGCCACAGTTCAGGTACCTCTGCTCCATGTAGATGATGGTCCGCCTCACGTGGGAGTACAGTGCAGTGAGGTCGACCTGTTGGTGGGGGGAGAATTGGTACACCGAAACAAAAGATAAGTACCTGGGAGAAGAAGAGAACTGCAAAACGGAACTCAACAACTCACCTGTCGCTTCTGCGATAGCAGGTTGAGCGCGTTGAGTGCCGTGTGCACATCTGCCAAGAAGAACAGGAAGTAATGAAACTTGAACGACGTTACTAAGTGGTACATTGTCTTGTCCGACTCCTCGAGCATAACGATGACAACAGGCAGAACGCGTACGAATCGTGCGATTGTATCGCCGCGACTCAACCAGCGGACGCTGTGGATCCCCTGGACCTCGAGGTTGGTATGCGTGAACACTTCCTGCAGCTCCTTGAACTTGCGGTTGGAGTTGCTGGATCTGCCGAGATCTTCCGCCACTGCGCGGATAACCGCGTCGATTATGCCAAGCTCGGGTAGTGCCTTAGCCGCCTCCTTTGCAGCAAGCGCTTCCCTGCCACGGGTAGAAATACACAGGTGGGGGTGTTAGAATTCGCACAACGACATACCACGTTTCACATCTCATACCGCAACAGCACCACCACAGCAACAGTTTACCTGTGTGCGATGTAGTGAGAAGCCACCACGTGCGGGATCTCCAGTCGAAGACGCCCAACGAGGCCCGTGTCCTTGCCTATCATCACAGGTGCCCCATCGGTGCTGATACCCGCCACCTTCTCCAGCGGCAGGCTAATACTATCAAGGAATCCCGTGAGCTTAGCATAAAGAGATGCTGCATCACACTTCTCGACGGAGAGGTTAGCCAGAAACTCTGTGGTGACGGCATGCTCGCGCAGAAAGGTTACAAACACAATCATGTGCTTCCCTTTGACGCGGTCCGTACTCTCGTCGCAGCTCAGACCAATGAATGGACTCGAATCAATGAATTCTCTCTGGCGCGCACGAAGGTATGTCGCTATTGCGGCGGTGATCTCTTCAAATCCGTACCTGCACGGGCATCAATGCGTGTGGTTAGTGATAGCTTCACGTATATCACATCCCCCGACGATATGTACTAGAGCAGAGTCACTTACGTCGTGTAGTAGGCACCATAACTACTCTTTGGGAAGCCCGGTGTGCCACGCTGCGCTAGATGTTGGACGAGGTCGACGTACATCTCGATCGGGGCGTCGGACTTAGCGATGAAGAGTGCCATCTCAAATAGCGCGAGAAGGCGCTCCTTCTCGACGTCTTTCACCTTCTTGTTGTCGTCAATCCGGCGGTTAGCTTTGAGCGCCGCCTCGGGTGTCCTCTGTCTGCGCAGAGCGCGGCGGTGCTTCCTTGTGCGTTGATGCTTCCGCATTGCCTGGGTCTGCACATCGGTCGCCCCTACTCCTTTGGCGCCAAAGTTCGTGCCCACACCGCCGTGTGCAATGCAGACCGAGCACTTGATTGACGGGAACCCTGCACTCGTCTGACAGAGAACAAGCCACAGATAGTCGTCAGACCACTGTTTGTTGAACATAAATAAGGCATCCTGGTATTTCTCCTCGGCTATGTCGGGCAGTTCTGTTTCGAAGGTAACCTCAACCGCTTTCCCCTTCTGTTTACGTTGTCGGGCCTCCGGGGAGGAGTTCCCCACACCAGACGTTGGCGTAGCTTGACTGGCACCCCAGTTGATCTTTGTTTGGCGGTACGTCACTTTGATACCCCTTTTGAGACGGGATCCGACGCGAGTAGTTCCGGCAGCGACAGGATGACGGTTTCGTGTGGGTTCGGGAGCGGCAGGAGTTGATGCGGCAGCGTCAGGAGTTGATGCGGCAGCGTCAGGAGTTGATGCGGCAGCGTCAGGAGTTGATGCGGCAGCGGCAGGAGTTGATGCGGCAGCGACACGAGGTAATGCGGCAGCGCCAGCATGCGTCGAACACTCGCCCTGCGTCCAGATGGTAGGTGCCTCGGGGCCCGAGGAAGGGAAAACAACGGTAGGAGCTGATGGCGAGACTAACACGGGAGCAGCTGAAGCTCGTCGTAAGAAGTTTAGGCCAGTAAGGGCGGCTGGCTTCGTTGCTGGGACGGATTCAGGGTTGTCACCTGCGGGCGTTGGATCCGCCATGGCTGCTCAGCTGTGCTGAGCGTGCTGAGCTTGAGAGGGAAGCTACTGCCAGGGTGAGCTCGAACATCACTTCCTGCAGGGGTTCACGACGAGTGCAGGAACAGAATGAGGGAGCAGATGGGGGTACCCCCTCTCCCGAGCCGCCATGGCGAGGGATCGTGGTCTTGGGTTTCCGTCTTTCGAGGCAAGACGACAACACCCCCACCCACCCCACTGCCATATTTTATGGCGTGTTGGTGTGGACCGTGCCAGCAGTGGTGTGCTGTTTGTGTTCTCATTGGGCAGTTGTAGAACTAGGATCATCGTACTCTGGTGTGATGGCTTCCAGCGAGGCAAAACGGTTCGGCGCGCACATGCTGTAAGTACATCGCATGTGAAAAGATTCCAAGTGTGTGGGTGGGGTGGGGTTTCGTGGGAAGGTACAGTCTGTTAACGCGTCCCCCCCCCCCCCCCCCTGGGCGGTCAAGTCCGTTTCAGTGTGACTCGCTGAAGTATACTGATTCGTTAGTGTTACTTATTCTGAAACAAGCAAAATGGTCAGTGTGGCAAAATTGCAAATACTGAAATTACAGTGCAAAAATGAGGCATACACTGATTTTTCAGGGAAAACGGAAATCAGAGCTACAAAATCAGCGTAATCAGCGTGATTTACGCTGATATCGGAGGGTTTGTGCACGAGGCAGAAACCAACATGAGGTCAGGGTAGTGCCATATTTTCCCCGATATAAGTCACCCCCTTTTTTTTCTGCCGGTGCTTAACATCAGCTAAAGGTCGATAAAGATTTTTCCTATACGGCAACCAACCAGGCCTACCCAAATGGTGGACATTATCACTCCTGCTAGTATGATATAAATGAAAACAAGTGAATAAGTAAGCCTTGGGGCAATAACAAAAGAATCAGAATAAAGTCCAGGAGCATATGGTGGTACTGTATTACCAGTATTTAAAGAAATTGCACTAACCAGCATGCACGCACACAATGAATTTGGAAGTTTGAGTTGCAACAAGCGTAGTCCAAATTCATTGATTCGGAAGGAGAGGAGTTAGAAGAGCTGTGGACCCATGGTGCAGTCCCTAAAGTACGGACATACAGAAAAGCTTCGAATAGGGACAAGAATTTGGAGAGTTCACGTATGGTAGACAAAAGGCAGTCACTCTGCTCTGGCAGGTTTATGAAAGGCTGACAGGTAAAAGACCATCGAACATTTCTAAATCCTGTGAGTAGTTTTCATAGATAGCACGGTTCAAGGATAGGGCCGAGGCCAATTTTTACTGTCAAGCAACAGCGTGAGCTCCAATCGTTATGCGTTGGTAAGGTTCATTCGAGCCATAGGCTTTGTTATGTGCGAGCCGTAGGCATTGCTTCTTGACGAGGGGTATGAACGAAAACCTGGCTACTAGTTCAGTAACAGATGCTTACAATGAAGAGCACCTATACACCAAAGCTAGAAACACGCTTAAGCGCCGGGGGTGAAGTTGGTGGCATAGGCCCAGGCGCAGGGCTCTTGCTAGGATTTGGGCCTGTCTGACATCCCTAAGCAAAAAAACTGTTCCGTCTGACGTTCAGACGGGCCTATTTTTTTGGTCTGATTTTTTGGACGAATGTTAAAGCATAGTCTGATTCTTCATACAATTCAATTTGCACGGTCTGATTTAGCTAACACACTTGTCTAACATTATCACGCTTGTTTTGTTAATGAACACGCCCCTGGCGCGGTGCTGACAGATCGCTGTGTGGCTATTGAGGGGCACGCACATGACAGTGAGGGGTTGCGACGCGAGGGATCAGGGTGGGTGGAGGTGGAGGGACGCGAAGGGAAGGGGGGGCTGGGCTGCGAGACATTACGAGGGGCATGAAAGCGGGCTCGGCTGGGAGCGAGACCTGGAGAAACCTCAGGTTGGGGAAAGGGGGAGAAGGGTTGGACAGGACTAGGCCTGGAAGAGGAACGAGGGCATAGAAGGGGGGGCTGAGCTGGTAGAGTAGCGAGAGATCGGGGGGGAAAGGGAGGGTTGGGGGGAGGGGGATCGGTATCAGACGAAAAACAACTCGTTCATTGAAATTTCAGACTAAGTAAAGAGCTTGCTCTGAAATATCAGATGAACTAAAATCAGTCATCTTACGGATCAGACGAAATAAAAAGCATCGTCTTAGAGATCAGATGAAAGCGAAAATCTACGTCTGAAAATCAGACCATAAGACCAATTTGGTCTGATAACGAGAGCCCTGCCCAGGCGTTGTTCACGGTGGGGTCAGCCAGATGGTCGGACAGGTTCTCCAGGGGGCCCTTGCCGGTGACGATGGCCTGGACGAAGAATCCGAACATTGACACCATGGCGAGGCGGCAGTTCTTCAGCTCCTTCACCTTCAGCTCAGCAAGGGCATCGAGGTCATCAGCCAGACCCAGGGGGTCGAAGGCACCACCGGGGTACAGGGGGTCCTCAACCTCTTGGAAGCCCTCAAGGCCACCAATGCGGTAGCTCTCGACGGCACCCATGAGGATGACCTAGGTGGCCCAGATGGCCAGGATAGACTGCACGTGGATCAGGCTGGGGTTGCCGAGGTAGTCAAGGCCGCCCTCGGAGAAGATCTGGGCACCGGCCTTGAACCACACAGCCTCGCCGAACTCGACGCCGTTGTTGGCGAGGAGCTCGGGGGTGAGGCAGCTGAGGGCACCGAGAAGAGCCCAGCGAGCGTGGATCACCTGGTGGTACGTACAGCAAAGAAGGAAATTTGAATTCACTCAACACATCAAAGACACATAAGAATCGTTACATTCGAAACAGCTGCATCAAGATTGAAATTTCATACATTGAAATCGCTGCAAGCAACGTACCTCCAACTCACGGTTCTTGGCGAAGGTCTCGGGGTCAGCGGGCAGACCCGCGGTGTCCCAGCCGTAGTAGCCGGCATACTCACCGGTGAGGCACGACGGGGGGGAGGAGAAGGGGCCCAGGAACATGTTGCGGTCGGGGCCGTAGAAGGCTGTCAGAATGTGATGTTTGTCTAGCCTGCAGTGGGGTGCTCTATAGCGAATACAACCCAATTAGGGTTTCCTATATGTATCTCAACTGCTGCTAGTGAAAACCCCTCTTTCCTGTTTTTAATTCTTGCCTAGTATTTCGAAATGCTATCAGAGCAAGTCGACCCACCTGGGTCGATCCTATGGGTGGCCCCACCCGTTGCTTCCGCTGCTCTACTGCCTGTAGCGCGCCCCGGGCGCGCGCCGTTTTCATTCTGCTATGCGCTCGGAATGCGCAGTGTTTTTTCTTCCCGTCGCGCGCTCGGGGCGCGCGGCGGTTTTCTGCCCTGCCCGCCGCGCGCCCCGGGAGCGCGCGGCGGTTTCCTGCCGCGGTGACTCGCGCGTCGCCCCCCGTCGCCCGACGCGGCCCGCGCGACTTGCGTCAGGCCCGCGCGCGGCCCGTTTAGCCTGCGCGTAGCCCATACGGCCTGTGCCAGGCCCGCGCGCGGCCCGTATGGGCTGCGCCAAACCCGCGCGCGGCCCGGACAGCCCGCGCGCGGTTCGGCCTGCCTGCGCCAGGCCCGTGCGCGGCCCGTACAGTCTGCCCCAGTATCGCACGCCGTCCCCCGAGCTTAAGACCGCGCCCCACCCCCGCTGCTGCCCGCGCTCCTGCGTTAGGGTTTGGGGGTGGAGAGTATGGGGGTGCCGGGTGTGTGAGCCGTCCCCTGCTCCGCCTCCTCCTCCGTCTCCCACTGCTGCAGCTGCCGCTGAGGGGGGTGGATGTGTTGGAGCCGTCGGAGTGGTACGAGGGGGGTGGCGTGTGAGCAGTGCTAGAGGTTCAGCAGGGAGTGTGTGAAAGGGGTGTGGGACAGTTGGGGGAGGTTGACCGGAGGTAGCCGACTTGTCGTCCGCAGCGCCTGAAGTCCAGAGAGCCACAACCCCCTGTGGCCGTGTAGTCCGGGGCTCTGCGCCTGGTAGCCACTGTGTGAGCATTCCTGGTAGTCCAGAGAGCCACGACCCCCTGTGGCCGTGTAGTCCGGGGCTCTGCGCCTGGTAGCCACAGTGTGAGCACTCGTGGGAGCACAGAGAGCCAGCTGCGCCTGTTGCCGTGTAGTCCGGGGCTCTGCGCCTGGTAGCGTCAGTGCTGCGCACTCCTGTTGCCAATGTGTTTGCAGCTTCAGCCATCGCCTCCCATCTTCTCGCCCCCCACAGTTTCTCCTCCTCCTCACTTGCCCTCTGTGATAGCCTCTAGCTTTGCTTATCCTTGTGAACTATCGCTTTGCCTGCTTGTTGTGCTGATTATACCCCACTTTGAATATGGGGGTGTGTCAGAATGTGATGTCTGTCTAGCCTGCAGTGGGATACTCTATAGCGAGTACAACCCAATTAGGGTTTCCTAAATGTATCTCAACTACTGCGAGTGAAAACCCCTCTTTCCTGTTTCTGATTCTTGCCTAGTATTTCGACAAAGGCGCTGCTGGGAGCAGCCTTGGCGGTCTTCCTCATGGTGACGCGGGCCTCGACATTGTTCACCTTGGCGGCGAGCTCAGCGCTCTGGCCGATGAAGGTGGACGGGAGCACAGCGGCGTTGGCGAGAGCGGCCATTGTCTACTGCAATTAAGGTACAGCTAGTAGCTGTGAGGGGTTCCTGGAGAAGTTGGGAAGTCTGCTGATGATCGAACTGCGGCTGACTTGACGAGAGTAGGTAGTGAAAGTGGTATTTCAATGTTGGCGATTTGGCATTGGTGGAACTGATTGGGGGGGGTGAATTGCAGGAATGTGCGGTCCGAAACGGTTGGGAGGGGTTGGGTGGGCAAAGTGCAGCAAGCTGATGTGGTTGGTGGTTGGCTGGGCCCGAGTGGCGTGTGGCCCGTAATCCGGATTAACTCGGGATCGCCTGAGCTGCTGGATGAGCTCGGATAGGTTGGTTTCGAGGGTGGAAGATCACAAAGCCGGTCATGGATGTGTGTGCGCGACTCGCCAAATATGTGATGTGGATCTGCGTAATCGGTCCTACCAATAGCAAAGGTTGACATGGTCCAATCCATCCCAACATGTCTACAATTGCGCTCTCCGCTTTAGGGACCTAAACCGAATCGGGTTTTTCCATAAATAGGTAATATGTATTTAAGAATGCTCAATCTTATGGTACACCCTTAAAAAAATGCTTCTCCATGTTCCAGGTTTTATTTTCCCATGCTTTTCTCCATATATGCGCATCCTCAGATTGTTAGTCTTTTCGTCATTATTGCGGCTGCGCTGCACCTATACTCGCACTGTCATTCAAGACGGTATATTGTGTCATTGATGAACTGGAGGTATAAGTGAAAACGTGTATGACAACTTACCGATACGCTATAACAACTGGAGGATGAATAAATTGATGTAAAATTTCATATGGATCTGGCATTAACCTGAATCAACTTGACTACGTAGTGCATAGATAGGCTGTACTGGAGTGCTAATGCCCCTCGAGAAGCTGCCATGGTTTACTCTGTCTTGACAGTCTTCGGGCGGCGGGGCTTGTACACCATTGACAAAACAATCAGGAAAATTGGAATGACAGTACCAGTATAGTACATGCCACTGTAGGCTGAATATGCGCCCGATAGCGTCATCACCTGCACCATGAACATACGGTAAATAGCAAACACGCACAAAGGAGGCAAAAGCAATGAGCAGAAAGGAGTGGGCAGCATAGAGGCCCAGAGTGAGGTACAGATGACTGCACTGTAGCAGAGTTTACTAGATAGAAATTCATGGAAAAGGTAGTAAAACACGCGCGCTTAGGCAGAAAGCGCTGACCATGTGGCTGCAGACAAAACGACTCTCGAGTCGACTCATTACGCCTTTTGAATCGACTAAAAAATGACTGAAAACGGACACACTTACACAGAAGGCGCTGGCCATGTAGCTGCAGACAAAGATGCCGTAGAGGGTGTGAAGAAGCGCAACAATGCGGTGCGTGATGGTGCCCTTGGGGATTCCTGCAGTGATTTGATATATGGCTGCATGCGAAGGAGGGAAGAGAGATGAAGGGCAGGAGAGGGGAATTTAATGAATAAATTTTGAGAAATTTAATAATCAACCTGCAGCGGTGCGTGGTGGTGCCCTTGGGGATTCCCGCAGTGAGCTGGTAGATGGCTGCATGATAGGGAGGAAAAGTGGGAAGGAGAGGGGGAATCACTCTGGAGAAGGTGCATTGAAGGGGAAGTAAGCAGGAGCTGACGACCCCGGGTGAAGGGGTATGAAGGCACAGTGGAGACACAGGGGTATGAAGGCACAGCAGAGACACAGGGGTATGAAGGCACAGCGGAGACACAGGGGTATGAAGGCACAGCGGAGACACAGGGGTATGAAGGCACAGCGGAGACACAGGGGTATGAAGGCACAGCGGAGACACAGGGGTATGAAGGCACAGCGGAGACACAGGGGTATGAAGGCACAGCGGAGACACAGGGGTATGAAGGCACAGCGGAGACACAGGGGTATGAAGGCACAGCGGGGACACAGGGGTATGAAGGCACAGCGGAGACTGGGTAAATGTGTTTCGGAATAGGAATGACAAGGTGATGGAAGTGGTAATGGGAGTAGGAATGGAAAATGGATATGGATGGGTAGGCGAATGGGAATGGCCATGAGAACAGGAGGTGAAAAAGAAACGGGCTTAGAAAATATAGAAAAGGGAGTGGGAATGCGACGGAAGCACAAGAATGGTAATGCAGGGGAAAACTACACTGTCATCATAATTTCTACAGAATGTGGGGTTTAGCATAATGTGGGGTTTGGCATATGCTTCAATTCCTGTTTCCGAAACACTCTAGTTCCATTGCTCAAGATAACGATGGGTGTTCAGGAAAGTGTGCACACACCTTTGGAGCTGGCAACGACAAGCGCCCAGTTGGCAAAGAAGATGAAGTCGCCCCAATTCAGGCCCTGCAGGTACCAAAGGAAAGAGTACAGTGTTGGGCAACGTGCAGACACTTGGGCGATTCCGAGTTTTGAGTCGACTCAAAAGATAGGAGTACGGCATTAGAAAATGTGCACACAGCGGGGTTTTGAGTCGACTCAAAACACACCACGACTCAAAGGAAAGGAGTACGGTGTTGGAAAACGTGCACACAGTTGGGCGATTCTGAGGAGGAAAGCACAGCTCTGAAACTAACGAATGACTGGAGGCAGAGAATGTGAGTGAAACACAGCAATATGGCTGGAGATTGTCCTGCCACGCCATGAACCAGTGGGGAGCTTGCTCTTGATGAAACCAAGGCCAATATACACGAATCGTTGCAAGTTGCAGTGATTGTTAAGAGCTAGCATTTGTGGTGCCAAGACCAGTAAGTGTGAGACCTGTATGTACGGATGGCCTATCCTATGCCTTTCTGAGGAATGATGGTTTAGGTGCTTGCATGAGAGTGAGGTGACGTAGAAAGGGGGCAGGAGAGGAGAGAACGACGCAGGGGTGATGTTTGCGAGGGACGGCAAGGGAGCGTACAGATGGGGCTAGGGGCGACGCGCATGGGGCTAGGGGCGACGCACATGGGGCTAGGGGCGACGCGCATGGGGCTAGGGGCGACGCACATGGGGCTAGGGGCGACGCACATGGGGCTAGGGGCGACGCGCATGGGGCTAGGGGCGACGCGCATGGGGCTAGGGGCGACGCACATGGGGCTAGGGGCGACGCACATGGGGCTAGGGGCGACGCACATGGGCGAGCGAAGCATGGGATGCAATAGGAAGAACGCAGATGGGAGGGAGTAAGGAAGGACGCACATGGGAGGAGGGGGTAAGGAGGAACGCACATGGGGGGAGGGGGTAAGGAGGAAAGCACATGGGGGGAGGGGGTAAGGAGGAACGCACATGGGGGGAGGGGTTAAGGAGGAACGCACATGGGGGGAGGGGGTAAGGAGGAACGCACATGGGAGGAGGGGGTAAGGAGGGGGAACGCACATGGGCGGGAGGGGGGTAAAGAGGAACCCACATGAGAGGGAGGCAAGGGAGCATGTGAAACTTACATGGGAGACGGCGCTGACGAACATGGTGGCGAGCATGTGGAAAAAGGTGGCCTTCCTGCCGGGCGGCACCATGCGCTCGTACACGTCTGAGGAGGGATCAAGATCAAGAGGCCAGGGGTTGAGAATGAAGCATGGGGTATGGGGGCAGGGCGGGTGGGGGGTGGTGAGAATGAAACATGGTGGCGAGCATGTGGAAAAAGGTTGCCTTCCTGCCGGGCGGCACCATGCGCTCATACACGTCTGAGGAGGGACAAGAGCAAGAGGCCAGGGGTGGGCAGTTATCAGGGCGGCACGGGGAAGTAGCGGACAAGAATGGAGATTGAAGCATGAAGCATGGCGAGCATGGAGATCCACAGCGGTGGCGAGGTGGAGGTGCAGGTGCAGTGCGGTGTGCACTCACAGAGCCTGAGCCAGAGAGCAGGGATGAGGGGGTTGCCACGGGCTGATAGAGAGCAGGGATGAGGGGGAGAGCAGGGAACTCACACAGCCGGAGCCAGAGAGCAGGGAACTCACACAGCCGGAGCCAGAGAGCAGGGAACTCACACAGCCGGAGCCAGAGAGCAGGGAACTCACACAGCCGGAGCCAGAGAGCAGGGAACTCACACAGCCGGAGCCAGAGAGCAGGGAACTCACACAGCCGGAGCCAGAGAGCAGGGAACTCACACAGCCGGAGCCAGAGGCCGTAGGAGATGTTCCACGTGGTGGCGAAGTCGAGGCAGCTCTTGGGGAACTCGAACCCCAGAATATCCGCGTTCCGCGCTCTATTCCACAGCGCCTTCCCCTCCCCCTCCCCCTCCCCTCCAGGCGCCGCACACGTCTCATCACCCTCCCTCTTCCCCCCATCACCACCCTTCCCACCCCCGTTCGCCCCCTCCGCTTCCCCCTTCCCAGCCCCGCCCTTCCCAGCCTCCCCCCCCTTTTTCGGCGTCTCCCAGCCACTGAAGCCCAGCCCGCCGACGACCATGGCGGCCTCGGTGATGCTCCAGAGGATGTACGCGCGGAAGCGCCACACGATGCTGGCCTGGTGCGCGAACAGCCAGCGCAGGTGGAAGGGGTACGCGCGGTTCTTGCGCAGGTCGCTAATGCGCGTGAGGTCCAGCGAGGGCGACACGAGCAGGAAGACAAGAGCTGCGAGGATGCCCTGCACGAACGCGCGGAAGAACGCCGGGAGGACGGACGGCTGCTTGAGACCCGGGGACCAGATCTGCAGGGGAGGGGGGTGAATGGGAAGGGGGTGGATGGGAAGGGGGTGGATGGGAACAGACAGAAGAGTGAGGCTATCGCTGCAAGGATGCCCTGAACCGAACGCGCGGAAGAACGCGGGGAGGACGGACGGCTGCTTGAGACTTGGGGACCAGATCTGCAGGTGGCGAGGAGGGGGATGGATGGGAACAGAGAGAAGAGTGCGGAGAGGAGAGCGGAAAATGACGCTTAGAACGAGCGCGCAGGAGAATGGCGGAAGGGCGAACGGGTGCGTGAGCGTGAGGGGGATACGAATATGAACCACGAGAACGACGATCAGCCGAGAGGGGGATACGTATATGCATGTGGCGTCACGTCACAGCACAGCCCAGTGATACGGATACGCGCATCCACTTCAAGTCCAGTCGCGGAGGGGGTTATGCACATATACACGCGCATCGAGTTCAGATGAGAATGCGTACCCATTGTCGGCGGGTCCAGTCGTCGTACGCTTTGAACTTAAAGAACGGACCCGTCATGTGCAGCCCGCGTTGACTTTTGAGTCGACTCAGAAGTCAACACAGCCCGAAGCACAACAGGTGCCCCGGGAGCTCCAGGGACGGAGGCGCCTCAAAACAGTACCCCAACAGCTAGTTGTGAGGCGCCTCAAACCTAGAGATGAGCATGCGTACCCCTCGTCGAGGGGGATATGCATATATGCACGTGCGTACCCCTTGTCGGCGGGTCCAGTCGTCGTACGCTTTGAACTCGAAGAACGGGCCCGTCATGTGCAGCCCGAAGCAGAAGAGGTACCCCAACAGCTCCAGCGGCGACGGCATGGTAACCAGCGCCGCCTTTCGCCGCTCCAATCGCGAACGCTCCATCCGCTCCTCGCGCCGCCTCTGCTCCTCGGTTAATTCCTTCTTCTCCGTCTCGTCCTTGGCTTTCGCGCCTTGGTCCTTCTCCTTGAGCAGCGTGAGCCCGTCCTGGTAGTTATACGCGACAGCGGTGAGCTTTGTAGCGAGGACGGTGAGCGCGCCTGTGCAGTCGAGCACGCCCTCCGTGCGGGTCTCGTGGGTCCGCATGATGATGTGGCTGGAGGAGGTCGGATCGAATCGCATCGAAGGAGGGAAAATGCACGTGACGAACGTGAGAATTGCACATGCTGAATGTTGAGTCGACTCAAAAGACGAATCACCTCCAACGACTAAAAAATGCACGTGAGAAACGGAAGATCTGAGCGTGAGAAATCCACATGCTGAACGGTGGTGAGTTAAGGAAGCTTGACGCGGGGAATGCAGGGCGGAAAGACGGGAGGGAAACTTACCATCCGATCAAGTACGCGAACGTTCCGAAGAACGTTAGGACGCCGCAATTTCTCCGAAACAGGCGCATTACGGCCATGGAGTAGAGAATGCACGCGAAGAAGTGCGCGTACGCCGTCCATCCGAACACGAACGCCGATAAAAGCAGTCCCGTTACTGTACAGTACAGATGGCGGAGTGTAGGCGAGGAGATGAACCTATGAATCCATGCGATCGGCACGAACGCGAAGCTAGCTAGCAGGAAAGTCGCGGCTGGACGGGGTGTGCCGATAAGGTCAGCGAAAGCCTGTACGGGATCCATGGCGGACCCCCAACGCAAGGAGTATCAATGGGCTGATGCAGAGGCGAATGGCGGGCCGAGGCTGTTCTTGCTCTCTCTAAACGTACTCCCTCCCGTGTCCAGCTTATGTCAGCTTATGTCTGGCTTTCGCAAACAAGAAGTTATCCAGAGAGGCTGAGTGAAATACGAGGTTTTCTCAGGCACCGACCAGCACTACCAATGTAACCTTGAGATCACCGCAGACAAATTGATGAGTCATTTTTGGAACAAATTGATTGGAGAGGCTGATTCAGATGCTCACCACGACTACCAACGCGGTGAGCGGAATACACCTCTTCCAACTGTGGCAGACCGTATTACAACGCGTCAAACGAGCCCTGATTCCCTGAACCAAATGTATGAATGACCCGCCTAACTGGGGTCGGCACAACCGAGATTGCCATGGGCGTTCAGTGGAGCTGTTGTCTTTTGGTGGGATGCTGACGAGATCGCAACCGCTCATCCAAAGTGGATGAGGCGATTGCAAATCGTGGGCGTTGGCGATGATGGAACAAGAAGCACACTGGCGAAGCGCGACAAATGTGTCAGAAACGACAGGAAGTCTGACACCCAGGAGGGAAGGTGAGTGTTGTGAGTTGTGGATTGGAGTGCGCGTACTAACGAATAACGAAACGTTGATCAATGGGAATCAGTATGGAGGTATTAGTTCACTCCTCACGACGTATTTACCCACACACGGACCCTACTTCCAAACCACGTTGCAACTAGGACAGGGCCCTAACAATTGCACATTACCGCCACCATTATTTAGCTGTTTGAAGTTTGCGTACATTGTAATATTTGCCTCGATAGTGCAATCCTTGCTCGCTCGCCCAATTGCACTCGTAATGCATCAGTTTTTGGCATCCACATTCCCGCAAAAACCTTAAAAAAAAAACCATTTTGAGCCACTTCGGTCACGGAGGTTAATGCAGAACAGTAATTTCATCAAATAAGCTTCCCTGATATGTCACATTTCCCTAACAAAACCCCCCGAAGGGAAGCATGTGTGGAGCCACAAATATCCACAAGCACATAATCACCAGTGCTCGCAACCCCCCCTCCAGCTGAACCCCTACCAGCCCCACCCCCACCCCCCCCACTTTCCAAGTCCAGCGAATAACCCTTGTGTTTCCTGTCCGCCGCTGTCAAATGCTGGTGGAGGGAGTTGTTGAAGGTCACTCGGTGGCCCAGGTCAGTCTTCCCAATCAGCTCTGTGAGATGAGAGCGCTTGTTGGGACCCTCCACGAGCACCACCTGCTTGGTTCCCACCTGGAGAAGAGAGAAAACAGAAAAGGATATGGGCCGCAATGGAGAGTGCTTTTGCGGCACCTTGAAAACAGCTCGATGGCCCAAATCAGTCTTTCCAATCAGCTCTGTGAGTGGAGGGGTGCTTGCTGAGAACGAGTGCAAGGTACAGGCAGGTGGCAGTGAGGTAGGTAGCAACTGGTGCAGGTGAAACGTTCCAGCAGGTGGAGGGAAGTAGCAAGGGCCTCCCAAGTGCATGAGGCACACATTCAGTTGTGCCTGGCAGTGCCCTGCCTCTTCAACCGACTTGCAAAGCTGAATATGTGGAGTGTATAAGGCAGATACAGTTGCGTCTGGCAGGGATGTGACGCCCTTGAGGAGTTGCTTTCGAGAAGTCTCAATTGATGTCCTCGAGCACACCTCGAGCACACCACAAACAACTAGGTGTGGCAGGTCTGGCATGCACCCGTGTCTGCCAGGAGCGGTGTATCTGAGATACACCACACCCTTGGGGATGCATGCACAAGGCCTTACCTGAGCCGCGTATCTGGCAGATGTGGTCTCCCGAAAGGTAGAGACGAGTCCACTCAGCCGCCGCTGCTTCACCTCCTCCGGTGCATCATCCTCCAGCCGCCGGCGGGCGTGCGTGCACGGGCTCACAAAGTAGGTATGGTGTATGCGGCAAGGACACCGGATAGGGCCTTACCTGAGCTGTGTATCGGGCAGCTGTTGTCTCCCGGAACGTGGCCACGAGTTCACTCAGCCGCCGGTGCTTCACCTCCTCCGGTACATCGTCCTCTAGCCGCCGGTGGGCGTGTGTGCGCGGGCGCAGCGAGTAGGCAAACATGTATGCCATGTCGTATCCCACTGCACGCATGAGAGAGAGCGTCTCCTGGTGCTCCTCCTCTGTCTCGCCGCAGAAGCCTGGGGGAGCGACAAGCAGGAAAGCAAGGCAAACAGAGAGAAAGGGGTTTCTTCTAGGCACAGACACAGTGAGTAGGCAAACAAGTAGGCCATGTCGTATCCCACTGCACGCATGAGAGAGAGGGTTTCCTGGTGCTCCTCCTCAGTCTCACCGCAGAAGCCTGCAGCAGCATTGGCGGCACAGGAGCAGCGGCAGCAGCATGGGAAGTGGGGTGGGGAAGGCAAGCAGAGAGGAAGGGATTAGTGGGGCACAGGCGCAGCGAGTAGGCAAACATGTAGGCCATGTCGTATCCCACTGCGCGCATGAGAGAGAGAGTCTCCTGGTGCTCCTCCTCTGTCTCACCGCAGAAAGCAGGAAGGAAGGGCAAGCAGGGAGATAGGGTTTTTTTATCGGCACAGCTGTATTGAGAAGGTGAACATGTAGGCCATGTGTCGTAGTGCACTGCGTGCATGAGAGACACTGCGAGTGGGCAAACATGTGGGTCATGTCGTATTGCTCTGCCCGCATGAGACAGAGCGTCTCCTCATGCTCCTCCTCTGTCTCGCCACAGAGGCCTGGGGGATCGGCAAGCAGGAAGGAAGGGCAAGCAGGGAGAAAGGGGTTTCTTCTATGCACAGCCACAGTGAGCAGGCAAACATGAGCGAGTGAGCGTCTCCTCATTCTCCTCCTAAGTTTCACCGCAGCAGCCCGGGGGATCCACAGGATATCAACTTGCACAGGCAGCGGCAGTGGCAGCAGGGTGCTGTATCTGAACAGGGTCACCACCACTGACCATACTCCAGCACTAACCTTGGACAATGCTCTCTCCCTCTCGCTCTCACGCACACACTAGCTCCAGATACGCCCCGCACTCTCATGATGCTCCCTCAGTCGCTATCTCTCACTCACTCCCTCACTCACTCACTCCCTCACTCATCCGCCGGTGATGAAGTCACTGCTAATGGCAGCGCCTGGCACAACGCTCCTCAGTCGATCCACCAGCTGCAGATACGCCTCCCTCGAATATCCCCTGCGCGCGGCTCAGACGTAGCCCTGACCCGATCCACCAGCTGGAGATACGCCTCCCTCACTCACCACTCTCACCCACCTCTCATGATGCTCCCTCTCCCTCACCAGCAATGAAATCACTGCTAATGGCAGCGCCTGACACAACGCTCCTCATGCGATCCACAAGGTCCAGATACGCCTCCCTCGAATACCCCTCCCTGTGCATCGAAGGCCCCTCGCTCACCACCCACGCTGCTCTATCACCCAGTCACTCACCAGTGATAAAGTCGCTGCTAATGGCAGCGCCAGGTACAACGCTCCTCATGCGATCCACCAGGTGCAGATACGCTCCCCCTACCTCTCATAATGCTCTCTCTCCCTCACTCACCATGCACTCACCTGTTATGAAGTCACTGCTAATGGCAGCACCAGGCACAACGCTTCTCACTCGCTCCACCAGGTCCAGATACGCCTCCCTCGAATACCCCCTGCGCATCCTCCCCAGCACACTGCTGCTGCCGCTCTGTGCGGGCAGATGCAAACTTTTGCAAACGTTGCCCCGGGCAGCCATGAGCGAAAGAAGCTCCACGGGAAAGTCCTTGGGGTGAGGGGAGGTGAAGCGGAAGCGGATGTCGGGAAAGTTCCGGGAAGCTTCGTCTAGGAGAGTGGCGAATCGGATCCCTCCCAGCTTGGGTTTGTAGATTGTGGAAAAGCCAGGGGTCAAGTGCGGTTGGGAGGAGGAGGAGGAGGAGGAGGAGGAGGAGGAGGAGGAGGAGGAGGAGGAGGAGGAGGAGGAGGAGGAGGAGGAGGAGGAGGAGGAGGAAGGGGAAGAAACAGTGGTGGTGACTGAATCAACCGTATCACATGCTGACGTGTCCCGGTAACTGTTAACATTCTGCCCGAGAAGATAAATTTCCTTCACGCCCTGCCCGGCGAGCTCCTCAATCTCCCCAAGGATGCTCCTGATTGGCCGGGAGCGCTCCCTGCCCCTCGTGAAAGGCACAATGCAGTAGGAGCACATGTTGTCGCAGCCCCTCATTATAGTCACAAACGCGCTGACGGAATTAGAGGCGAGGCGAACGGGCGACACATCAGCGTAGGTTTCGTCGAGAGACAGGAGAGTGTTGACTCCTGTCTGACCCGCTTCCACCTGTTGTTATTGCAAGGGCAAAAAGAAGAGAGGAAAGGGGACGTGCAGGGAGAGGGTGGGGGGAGGGGGAGGGGGAGTGGCACGTCAGCATAGGTTTCGTCGAGGGAGAGGAGCGTGTTGACTCCCGTCTTGCCCGCCTCCACCTGTTGTTCTTGGGCGGAGAGGGAGGGGGGAGAATGCACACGTGAGAATAGGTTTCGCTGAGGGAGGGGAGGGTGTTGACTCCTGTCTTGCCCGCTTCTACCTATTCAGCACAGGTAGAAGAAAAGAAAATACGAGAGAAAATACGAGGCAAATAAGGAAAATACGAGAGAAAAGAAAATAAGGACGAAGCAAAGGGGGTGGAGGGGGGAGGGGTGGTGTGGGGAGGTCGGTTCTGACCCACGTGAGGATAAGAGCACATGCTGTCACACCCCCTCATTGTAGTCACAAACGTGCTGACTGAACAAGAGGTGAGCCGAACAGGTGACACGTCAGCGTAGGTTTCGTAGAGAGAGAGAGGAGGGTGTTGGTTCCAGGCTGGCCGGCCTCCACCTGTTTTACCTATTTATCCAACAGGTGGAACAGCATGTGCCTGCCTGTGAAAAAAAAAACTGGCCAAATCGATCGTAATAGGTTGCTTCGCAACCCAAAAAGCAAGGTTGGATAAATATAGGCAGACGAGAGGAACCTTTTATACTCAAGAAAATAGTGTTGACCCTGGGCTGACCCGTTTCAACCTGTTTTGTCAGGAAAAAGGAAGGGGACTGGGGGGGAGGGGAGCAAAAGGGCACGATGAGGGTTTTGACTTAAGAAGAGGGTGTTGACCCTGGGCTGACCCGTTTCAACCTGCTTTTTGTCAGGATAGGAGTGGAAAGGGCACGGAGGCGGATGGGGAGGGGGTAGAAGGGAGACGTTCTCATTACAAGCCCACCTCGTTACAATCACACATCCAGCTCTTTCCTCGTCCAGCAGGCGTGGCAGGTCCCTATAAGCGTCAGGGCCGCACACCACGTCCACCATCTTATCCGCCACCACCAGCTGCTCTGCTCCTTCTAAAACCGCCACACATTCTCATTAGAAGTGCACCTCGTTACAGTCACAAATCTGGCTCTCACCTCATCTAGGAGCCGTGGTAGATCCCTGTAAGCGTCGGGCCCACACACCACGTCAACCATCTTATCCGCTGCCACTAGCTGCTCCTTCAGCCGCTCTGCCATGCACCCCAGCACCGCCACCTTGGGTGGAGGTGGTAACCACCCCGGTGGTAACCCTGTAACAGATGCCGCACCAGCAGCAGAACCAACAGCAGCTGCACTAGCACTGGCACTATCGGCAGCGGCGGCGGCGGCAGCAGCAGCGGCCGGCAGAACGAATTTATCCCTCCACTTCCGCTTCACATGTTTAAAATAGTTCAGCCGATGCCACACCTTCGCCTCTGCATTCTCCCTGATCGCACACGTGTTCACCAGAATCACCCGTGCCTCCTCTGGCCTAACAGCGCGCGCCACGTTGAACCCTGCTGATCTGAGGATCCCCAGCACCACCTCCAGGTCGTTCACGTTCATCTGGCATCCGTACGACTCCAGGTACACTCCCCTGGGGTCTGTTACTTTATCCTTAAACGAATTTGTGGCAATATCGGGGATGGATTCGTGAAAGTGTGGTGGGAGGTCAGCCTGGGTAGCGTTGATTTGTGCTTGAAGCGATTGTGTGGATTGATGGGGATGGAGTGACGGGTTTTTAGGAAGCAAATCAGCCATTTGCTTCGAATCTGAATCTTTCCCTCCCACTCTCCTTGCTGCTTTTCCTGCTCCCTTTGCTCCCTCCTCTCCTACTTCTGCTCCTGCTTCTCGTTCAGCTGCCCGCCTGATGAAATCTGAGAGCGACGGGCCGGTCCGGATGGCCTGACGGAACGAATGCCGTGCAGTCGAGGACGCTACAAACGAGGATGCGCTAACATTGTGCCTTGCCCCGTCTCCGGCCGTGTCGCTTCCCACACGGGTTGGTCGGAATTCTGATTCTAGAGCCGCTACATGCCTTTCCTGCTGCTGCTGCGGCAGCGGCGGCGGCTGTTGCTGCTGCTGCTGCTCCGCACTGTCGCTGAAATGCAGCGCGCCGAGCCCGCTCGAGAACGTCCTCGTTACAACGGGGCTCAGTTGTGGTGAGTAAACGGGAGCTCGGGCCATGGAAGGGCTTGCGATCGGACGGTTGTGAACCCTCCATGGATTTCCGAGCGCACGAACGGACGGCTCAGATGAACGCGAGCGACTCTGAGGGGAATTCGCGATTTTGAAACGCGACGCGGCATGCGGTTGCAATGGATCGAGTTTCGAGACATCTGGTCTCCTTCTACGGAAGATGGAGGAGTAGAAAGCGCATGAGGCGGAGGAATCGAGAATCCAGCAACTATCCACAGCACCTAGCGAGTTGGCTTTGCTGTGCCAGTTTCCAGCTGCTAGCGAAATAAGGCTAATCGGTCGATCACGCATGGCTGGGGGTTGCTGCGACAACCGTGAACGCCTCGATCCGCCGCTTGGATCGCACGGCCTAGGTTAGAGCAATCTCTTACGGCCAGATACGACATGTCATACCACCAGAACCAAAAGGATGTGTCAGGGAGGGGTGCTCGGCCGCGAAAACAACGTGTGAAACCACCACATAATTTCGACTTTTAGTGCGAATCCCTACTCCATATAAGTGTAACGCGATAACGTTACTGTGCATCTTCTCTATGAGGTGATACGCTATCGCGTTACCTTCGGGAATGCTTCCAAAACCTTTCGATTATTCCAGATGTAGCTTTCAGCGATGGAATGTGATTATGTTTTTGGCTTGTGTAATACCGGTAGCCATTTATGATCTCTTACCTACTTTATTCCCCGTAATGGAAGTGACCGAACGAATACAGGAATGGAGAATGCAATAGGAAGGAATTCTCCTTCAACCTCTTTGGTACGGGACCACCTCAACATCAGCCATTGGTAGACCCTGATTACCCAGCCAGATGCGCGATGAGACGAAAGTGTACATTGCCCAACCTTATTGGGATGGGACCACGTCAACCTCCACCATTGGTAGAACCCGATTATCCAGATGCGCGATAAGACGCCAGGATAATTCTGGCGTGTCGTGCACACAAATCGATCACGCGCTTCGCGATTCTGATAGAAACCGTCCAATCCTGAAACACCCAGCAGTTCCCCAGGCGATTTTCAGCCAATCATGATTTAGGGACACACATAATCCCCAACCTTTCAGCGTCCAGCCAAGCACCAACCTCATCCACCTGCTTTCTACCCATCCACATCACACCCCACCTCACCGCATTCAACCGCGCATCTCAGTCAGGCAGCCCCCTGGTCCGTTCGAAATTCGCCATTATTCAAATGTTGCTGGTCTTCCCACGATTCTCATGTCAGCGACAGAATCATCCCAGGTTCCTACACAACTTTTTAGTTGTACATTCTTCCGCAGTCGACAATGGCCGCCCTCGCCAACGCCGCTGTGCTCCCGTCCACCTTCGTCGGCCAGAGCGCTGAGCTCGCCGCCAAGGTGAACAATGTCGATGCCCGTGTGACGATGAGGAAGACCGCCAAGGCGGCCTCCAGCAGCGCCTTCTACGGCCCCGACCGCAACCTGTTCCTGGGCCCGTTCTCCTCCCCCCCGTCTTACCTCACCGGCGAGTACCCCGGTGACTACGGCTGGGACACCGCGGGTCTGTCCGCTGACCCCGAGACCTTCGCCAAGAACCGCGAGCTGGAGGTGCGTTGCTTACACCAAATGTCGGCAATTTCGTAATTTCGTAATTTCTGATTGAATCCGTTCCATCTCTGCTGTCACCGTCGCCAACTCTTTGACTCGGTATCTAACCATTGCCGGCTCTTTTTTGCCTCCCTTCTCTTTCAGGTGATCCACGCCCGCTGGGCTCTGCTCGGTGCCCTCGGCTGCCTCACCCCAGAGCTCCTCGCCGGCAACGGCGTGAACTTCGGCGAGGCTGTGTGGTTCAAGGCCGGTGCCCAGATCTTCTCCGAGGGCGGCCTTGACTACCTCGGCAACCCCAGCCTGATCCACGCGCAGTCCATCCTGGCCATCTGGGCCACCCAGGTCATCCTCATGGGTGCCGTCGAGAGCTACCGCGTGGGTGGCCTCGAGGGCTTCCAAGAGGTTGAGGACCCCCTGTACCCCGGCGGTGCCTTCGACCCCCTGGGTCTGGCTGACGACCCCGATGCCCTTGCTGAGCTGAAGGTCAAGGAGCTGAAGAACGGCCGCCTCGCCATGGTGTCGATGTTCGGCTTCTTCGTGCAGGCCATCGTCACCGGCAAGGGCCCCCTGGAGAACCTGTCCGACCACCTGGCTGACCCCACCGTGAACAACGCGTGGGCCTATGCCACCAACTTCACCCCCGGCGCTTAAATGTGCAGTTGTCTAGTTGTGGTGCTTTGTATCTATACTAGATATCAGCTGCAAGGCTGTTCATAAATTTCCACGATATTTTAAACAAGCGACCCCCAACAATGATCGAATCGTAGGTGTCAGCATCCCAACACAAGTTCTCGACTCAGCATTATTGCTTTGGATGGCATAGCACATCTGCGAGCACCTAATTGATTCCACTTATGGACACTTATTGCAGATTCTGCGCCATAACTCTTGCAATTTTAGCTTAGTCCTGCAGCATAGCTTGCACAATCCCTACCCTCCCAAATCAGTGAGTACATTACTGCAACTCAGCTCTTCAATGCATGCCTGTGCTGCTGGTCCTGCACCATGGCTCTCACTGCCTTGCTGATCTGCTCCAACCGAGTTGCTCCCAGCATCATCTGCACCTCCCCCTCTCCTCCGGCTGCACCCACGGCAGACGTGTCAATTGCTGCGCCTCTTGCTTCGTCCACCAGGCTTTCTGACAGCAGCCGGTGCCTTGCTGTGTCCTGCAAGTGGGGGGACACGCGGAGGAGGATGGCAGTAGGGAATGGAGATAAGCTAAACTCAGAATTTGAGCCAGTGCCTTGCTGTGCCCTGCAAGCGGGGGACAGGCACCGGATTATGAATCGGGGAGTGGGGAAAGCAAGTGAACTCGTTATTGCATCTCTTGCATTGTCAACCAGGCTTTCCATTGCGCGTGGGGAAAGAGGTGAAGGAGGATGATATCAGGGACTATCCAGCAAACGAATCACTCTCTTGCATCTGGAACTGTCCACTTGACAACAGGGCCTGCACGCAGGGAGACAGTCGAAGGAGTGGTAAAACATGGAACAAACGAGCTCATTTTCTTCCTCTTGCTCCATCCACCAGGCTTTTGAACACCAGCCTGTGCCTCGCTGCGTACTGGATGGTGGGAGAGAGGGGAAGACACATGATACAAGGGACTATGCAGCAAACAAAATCACTGTCATGCCTCTGGACTCGTCCAATTGACAGCAGCCGGTGCCTTGCTTGCTGCGTCCTGCACGCAGGGCGACAGTTGAAGGAGTGGTAAAAAGTTTCCAGTGCCCCACGACTCACCACTTGCTGTGAGCCCAGTCCTGGTGCTCTGCCGATTTATCAGTTGACTCAGGCATTGCTCATGTCTCACTACTCACCACTTGTTGCTGAGCCAACTTCCCAGTCGACTAGAAAAATGGCTGTGCCTCACTACTCACCACTTGCTGCTAAGCCAATCATCTCAGTCGACCAAAAAAAAATCGCATGTCACATGACTCACCACTTGCTGCTGAGCCTCACGACTCACCACTTGCTGCTGAGCCCGGTCGCAGGCGGATTGAAAGAGGTCCACTCGGCTCTGAAACACCTCCAGCGCTGATGCTATCGCCACCTCACTGCGTGGCGCACTGGAGCTGCTTATAAAGAGGACAACGATGGAAATCAAGGAAGTGTTCAATGTCCAATGATTTGGGGGATAAGGAACAGAATGGGGCAAAAGGGAACGGCAAAATTAGTGAGAGTAGGGCAAGTTAAGCGGAGGAGATTAAAAGAGAGAGGGGGATAAGGCAGGTGTGTGTGTGTGTGTGTGTTTGTGTGTGTGTGTGTGTGTGTGTGTGTGTGTGTGTGTGTGTGTGTGTGTGTGTGTGTGTGTGTGTGTGTGTGGTGTGCGTGGGAGTCAGACGTGTGTGGGTGAGAGGTGCGCGGGAGAGGCGTGTGCATGGGAGAAATGCCTTAACGTGTGTACCCTGAGTGCGCACCACCACGAGGAGCGGAAGAAGCAGCCTCCACGAGCAGCGAGGCAGAGGCGAGCACCTCCTGACAGGCGAGGCAACATGGAAGGAGGAGAGGCCGATGGGAAGAAGTGACAGACAGCTACAGATGGGAGCAAGAAAAACCGGAGTAAGTGACGACCAGAGCGGGATCAAAAGAGGACAAAACGGGAAGGAAGGGTGAGTAAAGAATTGTTGGAAGCGTCGCGGAAGCGTGGCAGAAAGGTGGCGCAAACGTGGGAAAGGGTGGCGGAAAGTGGTGGAAGGATGGCAGGGAAAGCAGCGTGCGCCAGCAGTGCACGGGTGGAATGGAATGGCGAGACGCACATCGAATGAGCTCTGCAGGCGAGCCGCCATCGCATCCATCGCCTGGCGATCCTTCGCGGCCACTCTGAAAGAATCTCAGCCGTCCGTCTCAGCTGTCTTTCGGAGGTGCAACGGCGAGATCGGGGAAGGAAGCAGCGCGGAAAGGCGGAGAAGGGGGAAGGGAGGGAGAGGAGGTACAGCTGAGCGGGGGAGGGGGAGTAAGGGGGGAGACGAAGCGGGAGCAGGAAAGAGAGACGAGCCGGTGGGGTTTACACAAGCTCTCTCGAAGTCTCGAGACAGGCGAATTTCGGCGAAGAGCCGCACGGGACGGAGATGGATGGGCTGAATGACGGCCGACGAGCAGACGACATTTCAGGAGACTCAAAAGCACCTGAAATTCGGCGCTTCTTTCTGTCGCCGGGTGACGGTATCAGGGAGAGACAAACAGGTTGAGATGAGACCTACAATACGATAGAGTCGAACTTACCGTGGACCTAGGGGAAGGAAAGTGATGAAGTGAATCGACAGCGAGGCTATGTCGTGGATTACACTACTCCTACTCTCCTCTTCCCTTCACGTCTGGTTTGCTCGCACGACCGTACCGCTGATTATAATTTCTGAAGCACATCGGAAATAGTAGACAGCGCGCTGCCGCATCGACGTGCATCGACGCTAGAAAAGGCAGGTGAATGCGGAAAAGCAGGCAGTTTCGATCCACCTTTAGGAGTGGTGCGATTAGTGCATCTCGCCAATACACTCGCTTATCTATCGTGCACACAAAGATTCCTTATCTTCGTGTATATTTCAGCGGACAAGCAAGGGTCCAAAACAGGGCTAATTTTTTGTTTTAAGCAACCCTTATCATCAGTCCTGCAACTTTGCAAAAACCTGATTATCAGTGTGACCCCTTGGGAAAATTCTTTTCCATCAGGGTTTTCCATAGTTTCAAAAAATTTACCCTTATGGCACAGTGTAACAATTTTCAATACCCTGATGAAGTGTTTCTAATGAAGTTCTGAAGGAAAACGCGGGCACTCAAGATTAGATCCTGAGTCTTCATCCTTCCGAAATCCAATCTTCCGACTGGGCCGCTCCAACATGAATCTTGTCTTTACCTCAACTTATTTATACCGGGACAGAAGTGCGAGAGCGAATTGGGGGCGAAAAGGGGAGGGGGCGGGGGGGGGGGGGGGGGGGGGGGGTGGGGGGGGGGAATGGTACTCGCTTCAGGGTAAAACTCATTATGAAATCGGTAACCCTGAGTCATCAGTGTGCCTTAAATGTAAACCCTGGCATATCAGGAAAATTCTAGCTCCCGAGAAAATTACCCTAGGCCATCAGTGTGACTACCAAAAACCACCCTGATAATCAGGGTATCAGGGTGATTTACACTGATAAAATTTGGCCTGGTCCAAAATTGTTGAGGGTGGGGGAAGGGGGCATTCAAAACGTTTGAATCTGAAACCGCCAAGCTCTTTGGCGAGAGAATGTGGCGATTCGCGAACCCTGATAAGGCAACAAGCGAACACTCCACCTCTTGTTTTTTTTCGTAGCTACCATGATACTTCTCAAACTACGGGGGGGGGGGGTGCCTGATACATACACACTACTAAATAAATTCCAACATAGCCGAGACGCTATGCGACAGGGATTTTACTCCGAGTCACTACTCCCCCGTCCTACTGTGAAACTGTCCAGTCCGCTAACCAACTGGGCTAAAAAGGGATGTTTCGGACCATTCCAGTGTCCACTTCCAACACTCCCCTCACTGGGAGGGCCCACCACTAGGGCACAGGAAGTCGCCAACAACAGGAATCGAACCCCGGTCCTCCACACTCATCGCACCATGCGGAGAGTCACCCTACAACGGGAGTGGACTACGAAGGAGAGCACGGAGTTGTGTGGGTGATCGTAGCGCTCTAGTAGCGTTCTATCAGAGTTCTCACTACTTGCTATGTTCACAGAGAGATTTGGCAAGAGTTTCCACTAAGGAAATTGAAAGAACATTGAAAATTGAGAAAATTAGAGTACAAAGAAGAGCATGCAAGTGATATCACTGGAATGGCATTGCAATCCCTAGCAAGAATTCTGCAAGGCGAATTGCCAGCACTGCATCAGAGCGGTTTGCCAACGTTGAAACAGAGCGGGCTGCCAGCGGAGCAGAACGGCGACATGTCAGTGCTGCAACAGGGCGGCCTGCCAGCGCTGCATTCGCAGGTGAATATCTGCGCAGGTGTGCACCTGCTGAGTAGGTGCAGGTAGACGGTTGCACCGTCAGAGACATTGCGCAGGTGCCAGGTAGAAAACGCTCCGACGCTTTCGTAAGGTGTCCACCGTCAAGCACGTGATGCCATTTCGCAGGTTGAATTTCGCTAAGAGCCACCTGAGCAAATTTCGCATGCCCTTGCAGAGTTTCGCAGTCGCGCGAATTCGGCCAGCCAGTTCGCCGAGATGAGACTCGCCGAACAGCGCCCTTCGATCAGAGAACGGGGCTCCTTGGAAAGCACCCCATCCATCAGAGATCGCGCAGCCCAGAAGCAGATCAGAAGACGAGCTCGTCGAACAGCACCCGGTCGACCACAGCTCGTTGATTGGATGGTGAATCAGAGGACAACCTCTTCGAAAACCACAGGCTGGTTCAGAGGACGGGCTGATCCAATGCGACGATCACTTCGTCGAATTCACCACGTCGTCGCAGAGAATGCCTGCGCCCAAGCGAGGGCGGGGCCTTTCATGTCAGAGGTCCACTGGTGATACCCGATTGATCCTAGGGAAGGGTGACAGGCATGTTGGCCTGGGGGGTTATGGGCGCACTAACCCGCTACCTAAAAAGCCCATTTATCCCAGTGGTCTAGTGGCTGGGATTCTGACATGGTATCAGAGCGAAGATCTCGGGTTCGAATCCCGGTGTATGCACTTCGGGCATCCCAGTGCGGGGGGGTGTCAGAGGTCCACTGGTGATACCCGATTGATCCTAGGGAAGGGTTACAGGCATGTTGGCCTGGGGGGTTATGGGCGCACTGACCCGCTACCTAAAAAGCCCTTTTATCCCAGTGGTCTAGTGGCTGGGATTCTGACATTTCAGTCCGACACTCCCTTGCCCAGCTCACGCTTGGGCACCCACACACAAGGTCCACCAAGAACTCAAGTAATAGAATACAAGGGGATATTCCTCTGGCGTGCACACCCCTGCACACCGATCACCGCACCAGCCATGTTAGAGGACATTGCACCTACCGGTGCACGTCGTTGTCGTCGCCGACTTTGGCAAGGCGAACCTAGCCGACCGCGACATAGCACCGGTTGAAGGCCGGAAAGTGCAGCCCTTTCGTAAGGAAGTCCGCCAGCTGCTCGGATGTCGGGATGTACTCAAGCGCAATCTTCTTGCGCTTCACCATCTGCTGCAACCAAGCATAGCGTCGCTCCATGTCCTTGAGGTTGCCCTTCAGCCCCAAGCCCTCAGCGACAGCGATGGCGGATTGATTGTCCACGTTCAGGACAGTTGGCGTCCCAGCATCAAGGAGCTGGAACTCGGCGAGGAGGAACCGAACTCGACGAGCCTCCTTGCCTGCTTCGGTGGCCGCGATGCACTCCGACTCTGTAGAGGACATAGTCACACACTTGATGCGTTGGCTCGTCCAAGAGACAGCTGCGCTGCCGAAGGTGAAAACGTAGCCACTTGTGCTAGTGCGATTTTGCTTGTCGCCGGCGTCGTCCGCGTCCGCGTAGCCGACCAGTTTCAGAGTTTCGAGTCCTCATCCGAATTCCAGAGCGAAATCGCATGTGTCGGCAAGATAGGTGAAGCAGCGATCGACCTCGCGACAGTGCTAATCGCTCCTCACCGTCAGACCAGACCCCAGCTTGCTGCATGCGAAAGCGATGTCGGGCCGAGTGGTCGTGGCAGCGAACTGCAGCGAACCAACCTTCTGACGGTACTCCTCTTCTTTGCGCAACTGAAAGTCCTCGTCGTCGAAAGTCAGCTCCGCGTAAGCGTCCACGGAAACAAGCGTCTTCGGACGCCGACCAGTCTGCTCCTCGTCGATGAAGCGCCTATGCAGCTTGTCGACGTAGGACTGCTGGTGCAACCACAGCTTTCGCGCCGGACGGTCGCGCACGATTTCGAGCCCCAAATACTTCTCGACCGGGGTGATCTCGCGCAGCTCAAAGGCAGCCTCCGGCAGCTCCTTCAGCTCCTTCAGCATCGCGGTGCTTCTGGTGGCGGCGAGCAGGTCGTCGACGTAGACGAGCACCCAGCACGCCACTCCGTCATCGCCAACTTGGAAATAGAGAGCCTCGTCCACCTGGCTCTTGCTCCAGCCAACGCCCGTCAGCACAGCGTCGAGCGTCGAGTACCACAACAGAGGGCTTTGCTTCAGCCCATACAAGCTCTTCAGCAGCTTGCACATGCGGCCAGTGCCATTGTTGTAGTAGGCCGGCTGGTCCATGTAGAGCACGCGATTGAGCTTGCTCTGCAGAAACGCATTCTTCATGTATAGCTGCATGAGGTGCAGGTCGAGAACGGCGACAATGCTGAGAAAAATTCGCAGCATGACGTAACTCCCGACCGGTGCATACGTCTCTTCGTAATCAGCTCCGTAGACATGCGTAAAGCCCTTCACCACCAGGCGGGCTTTTTCGCGGGCGACCGTGTCATCAGCGCGATACTTCGTCGTCAGAACCCAGCGGTTCTTCATGACATTGACGCCGCGCGGGCGCTCCACCAGCTCCCAAGTGCCGTTGGTGATGAGACTTCGAATCTCCTCGTCCATGTGAAAATTTAGAAGAGAGAAGAGTGTTTGACTAGCAACAGTTGGGATACATATAGCAAACCCTAACAGGGTTGTACTCGCTATAGAGCACCCCACTACAGGCTAGATAAGAACATTCTGACACACCCCCATAGCCAAAGTGGGGTGTAATCAGCACAGTGAGAAAGCAGGTATAGAGCAGGAGTTTACACAGATAAGCAAAGCTAGAGCTAATCACAGCGGACAAGTGAGGAGGAGGAGGAGCTGTGGGGAGAGAAGATGGGAGGCGACTGCTGACGCTGCAGACACACAGACGAGCTGCTGGCTCAGTGGCTACCGGAACAGCGCTCCGGACTACTGGAGTAACTGGCCCCGCGGCTAATAGTAACGGCAGACGAGCAACGGACCCACGGGCGACTAGCGACTACCGGAGATTGTAGCCTCCGGACTGCTGCTGCTGCTGACGACAAGACTGCTGCCTCCACTCAACCTCCCCCAACTGTCCCACACTCTCGGCACACGCCCACTGCTCAAACCCTAGCTCCACTCCCACGCACCCCCCTTAAACCCTAAACCCTAGTCTCCCACTCATCCACCCCCCTCAGCGACAGCTGCAGCAGTGGGAGACGAAGGAGGAGGAGGAGCAAAGGGAGGAATGCACGACAGCGAGCTCACGTGTGCGCGAAGCGTGTACAAGTGTGCGGTAAGCGAACTCGAGTGTGCGTTAAGCAAACGCATGTGTGCGGGAAGGGGGGGGCGCAGGGCGACACGCGGGTCGACGGGGATGGGCGCACGGGTCGCCGGGGGCGGCGCGCGGGTCGACGGGGCCGCCGCAAAGGGCGACGGGGAGCCGCGCGCGGGTCGACGGGGCCGCCGCGAAGGGCGACATGGAGCCGCGCGCAGGTCGAC